TACACGGTCGATCAAGTTGTTGTGACCTATTTTGGTTGTGTTTCGGAGTATGCTGTTTATAGGCTGTTGTTTTACTTTTATAGAACTTTGCTTGGTTGTCAGGCTTGTTTTTAACAGCATGAACAGTGGATAAAGGGCCATTTAGTGTAATGCTTTGTTTCTTAGAAATTTCCGAAGCACGACAGATATGTATGCATTTGTCAAGGGTCAGATCAGCTTCTCTGAGTAGCCGTTCTCGGAGTTGTGAATCCTTAATGCCACAAACGATCCTATCTCGAACAAGGGAGTCATTGAGTTCACCAAAGTTGCAAGTTGCTGCTAAAATACGTAAATCTGTCACGTATTTATCGAAACTCTCTGATTCCTGGTTACGCATGAAGAAATGGTAGCGTTCAACAGTCTCATTCTTTTTTGGATCACAGTGTTCGTCAAAAACACGAAATATGTCGTTCAGTGTACGCTCGTCTTCGGCGTTGTCAAAATCAAGCGTTGAATAAATTTCTCTGCCTTGAGGTCCAATTAAATATTTGAACAGTTTTAGTTTTAAGTCTTCTGGCTTGCCAATCATAGCTAATTCCATATATAGTATTAGCTCTTCCTTCCATTTTTTCCAATGATCAGCAATATTACAAGCGTCCATATCAAGTTGTCTTGGCGGTTTAAGTATAGACATAGGTAGGGCTTGTTGTAGTTGTTCTGCCATTATTGTGAAACAGGCAGCACAGAGTTAATTTAGTCTGTGTTAGATTAATGCTGAAGGAGTACTGTATTTAGAAAACGGCACAGACTAAGGTAGCTTAATGAAGAAATTCACTGTACGGTAGGCCTAATTCTAATGTAGATTTGGAAGTCTATATAGACACAAAACAACTGTAGGTTTGTAGATTTCTTGATTAGCGTAGAGATCTCGAGGGTTCTATTCACAACTTTGGTCTTAAACCAGTAACGAGGTCTGGGCATAACAAGACGAGTGACTTCAAAAGATAGCTTTACTAGCGGCCATGTTGTACAGACTACATACGTAAGTAGAACGTGTATGGTAATTATGTCACATGATATTATAATGAGATCACATGCTACAGTGGTACAGATTTGAGCTAATCTAGCCTAGCTTTGGCCTGGAAATTAGATAACTCTTGTCAGGGATACTCCGTCTCTACAAATGTCTGGCAATTACATAGCTCTGTCAGGGTTACCCCACCACTAGAAATGTCTGTCAGAGTGTTTTTGTAATACCTGAAGATGTACGGTACATTGCTGTGCGATTTTCATGTGGTACACTTTTGAGCTAATCTAGACTAGTTGGGGGGCATGACATTTTGGGCGTGGAATACCGCACCCACCACCAGAAACCCGGCAGACTTACATTCTGATGATACCAGATATACATACATTGATACCATATAGGAGAAAATTGGTACACTTTTCAGCTAGGTTAACCCCCTGGGCTCCTGCTCTATTATCATACACTGAGGTCAGTCGTAGCAATCGTACGAAAAATCGCGTTTTTAGCTTGTGGACCCTATAGAGGTCATAATTTTTATCCGATTTAAAAAAAAAAACGTATTATTATATCACCGTTACACCCTAAGGATGGCTGAGTTCGAATTTCGTGAAAATCGGCCCAAAATTGACAGACAAAATGGCCGCCGTTCGTTCTCAAATAGTGTAAAAATATGGTATATCAAGGTTGTGGACCCTATAGAGGTCACAATTTTTATCCGATTTTGTTGAAAATTGAAATGTAAGTTTATAACCCAAAGATCTCGGTTCCTTTCGATATTCGCGCATATCGGACCGTAACTTCCTGAATAATGTCCCCTGATTGTACGAAAAATCGCGTTTGTAGCTTGTGGACCCTATAGAGGTCATAATTTTTATCCGATTTAAAAAACCGTATTATTATATCACCGTTACACCCTAAGGAAGGTTGAGCTCGAATTTCGTGAAAATCGGCCCAAAATTGACAGACAAAATGGCCGCCGTTCGTTCTCAAATAGCGTAAAAATATGGTATATCAAGGTTGTGGACCCTATAGAGGTCACAATTTTTATGCGATTTTGTTGAAATTTGAAATGTAAGTTTATAACCCAAAGATCTCGGTTCCTTTCGATATTCGCGCATAACAGACCGTAACTTCCTGAATTATGGCCCCTGATTGTACGAAAAATCGGGTTTTTAGCTTGTGGACCCTATAGAGGTCATAATTTTTATCTGATTTAACGAAACGTATTATTATATCACCGTTACACCCTAAGGACGGCTGAGTTCGAATTTCGTGAAAATCGGCCCAAAATTGACAGACAAAATGGCCGCCGTTCGTTCTCAAATAGCGTAAAAATATGGTATATCAAGGTTGTGGACCCTATAGAGGTCACAATTTTTATCCGATTTTGTTGAAACTTGAAATGTAAGTTTATAACCCAAAGATCTCGGTTCCTTTCGATATTTGCGCATATCGGACCGTAACTTCCTGAATTATGGCCCCTGATTGTACGAAAATACGCGTTTTTAGCTTGTGGACCCTATAGAGGTCATAATTTTTTATCGGATTTAAAAAAACGTATTATTATATCACCGTTACACCCTAAGGACGGCTGAGTTCGAATTTCGTGAAAATCGGCCCAAAACTGACAGACAAGATGGCCACCCTTCGTTCTCAAATAGCGTAAAAAATATGGTATATCAAGGTTGTGGACCCTATGGAGGTCACACTTTTAATCCGATTTTGTTGAAACTTGAAATGTAAGTTTATAACCCAAAGATCTTGGTTCCTTTCGATATTCGCGCATATCGGACCGTAACTTCCTGAATTATGGCCCCTGATTGTATGAAAAATCGCGTTTTTAGCTTGTGGACCCTATAGAGGTCATAATTTTTATCCGATTTAAAAAACCGTATTATTATATCACCGTTACACGACCCCACGGACGACTGAGTTCGAATTTCGTGAAAATCGGCCCAAAACTGACAGATAAAATGGCCGCCCTTCGTTCTCAAATAGCGTAAAAATAGGGTATATCAAAGTTGTGGACCCTATAGAAGTCACAATTTTTATGGTCTCAGACTAGCAATTATTTGCCCATTGACTTCAATGTTAAATGGCTGTAACATCACAGGCTGTAGCTTTTTTCTCAACATTCCGTTGGTTCCAATCTTTATAGGCACAATGGGGACAACATTTGGCAATCTCCTCATCATAATTCTGTAGGGGGTTGACCATTTAGATTTTTTGCTACGCGGATTTGAAGTTGACTGGGGTGAAAATCTCACTTCCGACACAATGATTGCTCTGCAGAAAGACACTTTACACCCCCTATCCCTCCGCTGTAATATCATCAGTATTACCCAAAACTGCTATATGAAATTGCAAATTTGATCCCTTTTCTCCAATTCTAGACCAAAACGTCAACCAAAAAATGCAGGAAGAGGGGAGAAAAAAATTAAGGGAAAAATTGTCTATTTATAACTCGCACTACATGAAATAAGGGGAAATAATTACTAGTCTTAGTCCTTTATCCGATTTTGTTGAAACTTGAAATGTAAATTTATAACACAAAGATCTCGGTTCTTTTCGATATTTGCGCATATCGAATTGTAATTTCCTGAATTATGGCCCTTGATTGTAGGAAAAATCACTTTCTTCTTAGCTTGTTCTCTATCCATCTCTCGAAAATGTGGGCGTATCCTGCCTGGCAACCGCTGGTTAACTATAATAGCGAGAACTGTCAGCTCTTTATCTAATCTCCCATAATACCGCTTTAAGTAGTGATTGCCTAATCTACCACAATTGAAATCAATTTGGGACATCGATAATATTTGTTTTTTCAACACCAAGACCAAGGAAATGGCAGCACTAGTCAACCATTTCAATATAAAAACATCATAATATCATCAATTTCCGTAGCATTACATGATGTCCTATTTAATAAACTCTGTTTACGAATTTGAACTGGGCCGAGGTCATACTATTGTTAAAGACCACGCACAGTATAGTGACAGTATATCTTGCGTGATACTACATATGGATGCATATCATATAATTTAACTGCTGCGTAAACAATAAACATCATGTGAAGCAATTTTCACCCTGTTTTTTCTAGATTATTGACCCACTTGCATCAGAAGCAATGAATTCTCGATCTGTATCGAAAAGACTCTTTTATCGCAAAAATGCTTATAACTGTGTAACTGTGGCGAGATCAGGAAGCTTTATTAGAAAAAAATGTATGGTTTGAACAGTTAGCTTCCCAAGTTCATTTTATCATGTAAGTTCCCATCTCTGCATACACCTTTGCCACCCCGAAAATGTCAGATACTTTAAGTACAATCCAGATCCTATATTTTTCAAACCCCGTCGACCTGATCGCCTCCGGAAGCATCTTCCTTAATCCACCCCTTTGCCGCGGGTTTAAAATTTGTATACCATAAAATATTAGAGGGAACGTTCCGTTCTGCTCCACTAACCCCTTTTTACATTCACTGGGGTTCCGTGAATTTAAATTGTCTGCCCTTGGTGATTTCATAGGCACCAGATCGTATTGTACAATTTTATGTTGGCACCAAGGCTGAGTCTTTGAACCAATCAAAAAAACAGTTTACATACCAATCTTAGCGTCATTGTTTAAGTTCACCACAATACAACAGATTGTAAACTAGATTATGAGAAGGTTTGTAAGAAATTTAATATCAAAGAAGTGATATGCACATCAAACGATGTCCTAAAATAAAATGCGAGTTACTTCCCTCCGCGTTGTATGTATTGAATTGTTTGATTTGTCGATCAAAAAAGCACAATTATTTTGGGCGGATAATTTGACTATGTGTCTCCCCCGTGAATGCCCCCCCCCCCCGCCATAAATCTGGTCTGCCCCCCCCCCCCAATAATTTAGCTTGAATATGTCTTTAGCCGAATTATATCATCAAATCATACAGTTTGTAGGAGAGCGGATAGATTTAGTAAAGATAAAAAACAGTTAAAAAATTAATCCGAACACATATTTCCAGTAATAAAATTTTAATCATTGACGTATGGTCTATCTGATGGAGGATGATGTCTTTGTCATATGGAACATATTGTAGAACTTGTAAGGCCTACACATGTATATTTAGGGGGGACATGGTTTCGACACAGTACATAGTAGTACATCAGACAAGATCATGTTTGATGGTGTGCCATCGATTCATCTTAACAGAGATTCATTCTTGGTGTTGATGTTAAATAAATATGCATGGTTGACATAGTTCCCATATTGTACAGACATCGTGGTACTTGTTTCATGAAGGTCTGAAATATAAAAGAAACCATTTCATTAAACGTAATAAAACGGGGAATCTGGAATGGAGTTTAATTATTTTGTGTTTCTTGTATAAATTGGTAGAAAGAAAAATCGAAGAAAAACAATTGTTAACACTAATGCCCCCCCCCCCCCCACAACCGTCTGCAACAAAAGGAGAAAATAGAAGAAAGAAAAGCAACCAAAATACCACCTCACCCCAAATACACACACCCACACACACACACTTTTACAATGCCCTCGCGCTCCCAAACGCGGCACACACTTCTCCTAACCATGTGTTTTATTCGACAGTTTGAGCCCTAGCTCATTAGTAATGTTTCTTTTATACAAGACTATAATGTGATAAACTTACTCCAAAATATGAAGGTGTCGGGTGTTCATATCTCTGGGAAGTTAGTGATGTAGTAAAAGCCCAACCAAAACTGTTCAATCTACCATCATTATACATCAAAAATACAGGATATTGTTTCTGGCAATCAGAATTAGCACTCAAGTCATACCAGTAGTGACGACCTGTAGCGGAGAAATAAAATGAGAGAATATTTACTAGTATTTCACCAAAAATAACTCAGATTGAGTTATATGAGACAACAATCACTGAATTATTAAACACATGCATGACGTTTGAAGATCCAGTACCGTTATTCATAGGTTTTTCATTCAAGTCTTCAACATTTTAAACGAACTATGAAAAAAAACGTGGCACCGTGTAATTTCCGTATCGAGATATTCTCGAATGCTACTTTAATTTGAATTCAGTGAAAGATTTCCGGTTTACCCCATGTGAATGTAATGACAATATCTAATTTATCACGACTTATTCAATGCTAAATGTATTGTACTCAAACCGATTATTTACCGTTTAATCAACTGACTATTCGATTGGATTTTAAAAAAAAGCTTATGAAAAGTTTTTTGGTGAAGTAGGCCTACATTGGTGGCTTGTTTTGGCTATCCCATTTATATCGTCTGCAAAGGATGCCGAAGGTTGACAAATTTTCAATTCATCACATCTATGTAAATACTGAAAGGATAAAATATCGCTCAAATGACGAACAGGGGCATTCGGTTTATTAAACCATTTTGAGCTATAATTGTCATGTGCCATATTTTCAGTCCAATATACCTTTTGGCGGCGAATGTCCGAGGCTATATCATGCATAATTATATTTTTAAAAAAAAGTACATTTTTGATATAGGTCAGTGTAAAAGTTTTAATTGGTTAAATTTAATGTGCTGATTTGTTCTGTGAGATGAAATGGAAATCGTTTTTCAATCCCAGGGGCGTTCGGTTTATTAAACCATTTTGAGCTATAATTGTCATGTGCCATATTTTCAGTCCAATATACCTTTTGGCGGCGAATGTCCGAGGCTATATCATGCATAATAATATTTTTTAAAAAAAGTACATTTTTGATATAGGTCAGTGTAAAAGTTTTAATTGGTTAAATTTAATGTGCTGATTTGTTCTGTGAGATGAAATGGAAATCGTTTTTCAATCCCATTTTGAAATAAAGCCGATTTGATGTAAACAGTAGACAGCTTGTGTCAAAAATAGAGCTGGACGATATCCCTGAAAACAGATATCGCGATATTTTTTTTTAAATTATCGCGATATAATCACTCTATCGCTATATTTTATGAAATATCAATTATTTCAGTTTATCGCTTTTTAAATGTAATGAAAAATATCTAATAAGGTGTTGGAAATACCCTCGGAGTATTCACTTGACACTTTCTAGTCAGTATAATTAAGAGTTTTTTAGCATAAATACAGTACAGAATTTACAAAAAAAAAAATTAATGAGCTGTTTCAAACACAAATCTGTCTATAGCCATGAAGACTTGCTAAAAATATTGGTTAATGTTGATTATTACAATTTTAATTTCCAGTATTAGTTATTATATTTTATTTAAATTAAGAATATTTACATGAAGGAGGCACAAATTTATTTTAAAAAAAAAAGCTTGTGTTCTTTTGGCCATGCATGATTTTTATAACTACCGGTACGGGCACGATTGGAATCATTGGATGCTACTCATTGAGGCTACCATAGCAAACTCGTTTTTTCTCATTCAAACGCATGCCTTCTTGAAAAGGCATTATGCCATGTAAAAATACTAAACTATACTATAATACGGACCGCCATGACACGTCTGACGCTGAATGATAATTAGTCTACCGGAACCCTCAATATAGCTGGCCTTATTTATAATTCAATCTGAAAATCAATGATTCCTTTGGAAAATAAAAGCATTCGTCAAGAAATTGAATAGAAGCAGGGATAATTCTAACGCTATTGGTCAGGCGGAAAAGTGAGCTAGAAATCACGTGACGTAAACAAAGCTCTTTACCGGCATTTTTTGCTATTTATTCATCATTAAACAATAAAATATCGTAAATAACATAAAAAAGAAAGACATTTTCTCAATATTTATATTAAATATCATCCAGAAAAATATCGCGGTTTGTTCGGTTTTTCGATATTTTTCTGAAGATGGTATTTTTGACTGTTTTCATTTCTGTGACGGTTTTATGGGGATCACGTGGCTAAGTGGGTAGGACGCTAGCTCGCTAGTCTGGAGGTCGGGTGTTCGATCCCTGCATTGGCCGAGAAAGTTCATCCAGATTTTCCGGCGTGATTCTCCCTTGTCAGTGATGCAGGACGGAGGGGCTGACAAGGAAAGCTGTCTAGTCGTTCGGATGGGACGAAAAACCGAGGTCCCGTGTACACATTGGCGTGCACGTAAAAGATCCCTTGGCAGTTGGAATTCGATATAAGAGTAGGCCGTAGTGCCGCTGTCCTGGCAAAATTTCCCTCATAGCACACTGTATGGCGTATGCCCGTCTTCATTAGCCCAGGTTAGGAGCAGAACAGTAGGACGTTAAACCCCATTTCATTTCATTTCATTTCATTTCGTGACGGTTTTAGGCCTATATCGAACCAGCGGCTGCCAGGCAGGATACGCCCACATTTTCGAGAGATGGATAGAAAACAAGCTAAAACGAAAGTGATTTTTCCTACAATCAAGGGCCATGATTCAGGAAATTACAATTCGATATGCGCAAATATCGAAAGGAACCAAGATCTTTGAGTTATAAACTTACATTTCAAGTTTCAACAAAATCGGATAAAAATTGTGACCTCTATAGGGTCCACAACCTTGATATACCATATTTTTACGCAATTTGAGAACGAGGGGCGGCCATTTTGTCAGTTTTGGGCCGATTTTCACGAAATTCGAACTCCGTCGTCCTTAGGATGTAACGGTGATATAATAATACGTTTTTTTTAAATCGGATAAAAATTATGACCTCTATAGGGTCCACAAGATAAAAACGCGATTTTTCGTACAATCAGGGGCCATAATTCAGTAAGTTACGGTCCGATATGCGCGAATATTGAAAGGAACCAAGATCTATGGGTTTTAAACTTACATTTCAAGTTTCAACAAAATCGGATAAAAATTGTAACCTCAATAGGGTCCACAACCTTGATATACCATATTCTTACGCTATTTGAGAACGAACGGCTGCCATTTTGTCTGCCAATTTTGGGCCGATTTTCACGAAATTCGAACTCAGTCGTCCTTAGGATGTAACGGTGATATAATAATACGTTTTTGTTTAAATCGGATAAAAATTATGACCTCTATAGGTTCCACAGGCCAAAAAACGTGTTTTTGCGTACAATCAGGGGCCATAATTCATGAAGTTACGGTCCCATATGCGTGAATATCGAAAGGAACCGAGATCTTTGTGTTATAAACTTACATTTCGAGTTTCAACAAAATCGGATAAAAATTGTGACCTCTATAGGGTCCACAACCTTGATATACCATATTTTTACGCTATTTGAGAACGAACGGCGGCCATTTTGTCTGTCAGTTTTGGGCCGATTTTCACGAAATTCGATCTCAACCGGCCTTAGGGTTTAACGGTGATATTATAATACGGTTTTTTAAATCGGATAAAAATTGTGACCTCTACAGTGTTCACAAGCCAAAAACGTGATTTTTCGTACAATCAGGGGCCATAATCCATGAAGTTATGGTCCGATAGATGCCAACATCGAAAGGAACCGAGATCTTAGGGTGATAAACCTATATTTCAAGTTTCATTGAAATCGGATAAAAATTGTGAGCTGTAGACTGTTCACAATCAATTGTGGACGGACGGACGGACGGACAGGGGCGACGACAATATACGTCCACATGAAAATGTGGGCGTATAAAAACCGAAATATCGCCCAGCTCTAGTCAAAAAAGGAAACTTAAATAATAAAATTTTTAAAAATCTGGACCTAAATTAAACAGGTCCGCTCCTTTAAATTTAAAAACCACCCAACAAAATTTTAGTGTGCATCAAAGCCTTTTTCTTTCGAAAGAATGGTCGGTATACGGCCAATTGTACAAATGTTGCTAATGTTATTAATATAGATTAATGCCTACCCATTGACGGGAAACATTTTCCTTCGGTCCATTTGGTACCCTGTAATTCAGTCTGTAATTTTGGCACTTTAAAACTGTCAGTTTCAGGATTAGTACCGTTCTGTATATAAAGATCCGTTCCAGTACCTTGATCACGGAATTGTCGGTAAGTTCTGCCAGTTGTACAGATTATTCCTGAAATCAAACAAACATAAATATATTTGTAGAATAACTTTATCAACCTTTAAAAGAATCCAACAATCTCTTCATCGCTTCTCATCCTTATACTATACAATCCCCATAAATTCAGCGTGGTTTACCCTTTGCCTGCTGGGGCAAGGATGGTACGAAAAACCCTTGATAGTTGGAATTCGACGAGTAGGCGACTCGAAAGAGCTGGTTTTCGAGTAAACAAGACTGGCAAAAATGAATTTCTGAACCATATATGATGATTTGTCGTCTTAAACGGGACTTGGGGCTCGACTCGACTCGACCTTAAGTCAGCGATTTGGACTCGACTCTGTCTCGAGGTGCTGCGACTTGGGACCTTGGGATTAGACTCGGACTCGTGGTCCTGCGTCGCGACTTATTCCCACCTCTGCGAGTTGGAGGAAATGTCGCTGTCCAGGCAAAATTTCCCTCATAGAACACTTCACATACCTCGGTCGGTGCAGGCAATTTGGATGTTAAACCCCACTTCATTTGCAATATTCTTATTGTAGAATAGTTCGTGGAACTCTTAACAGGATGATTATCCATGGTGAAGATCAGAAAAATGACATGAAAATACTGTGCATTTGACATACGGATCTGATGTAGGTATAAACTCAGGATTTCTGAATTTTTGGTGGTATGAAATAACCGTGATAGAGTTTACTCCCGAAAAAGGAAAAGTTGAAACAAAGTGTGCATTTCTGGAGAACCTAATATAAATAACTTACTTGGATCAACAAAGTAAGCTGTGATGTAGTGGAATCCATTTTCTTTTACAAATGGTGACTTAATTCCAGGGAATGGGTAGCCATCTGATTGTCCTTCTGGTATCTGAAATATTAAATGTTGTATAGAAAGAAATATGTGATGATCTGTCATCCCTTCAATCGTTTATTGAGCCAATAATGTAGAGCGGGTGGCGGGAATTTTAGTGGGTCGGGTAAAAATAAGAGACACACATCATGTAGGACTAAGCCGAGCAGAGCGTAAAGGGAATCTTTATTTTTTCACTCTACCAACTGCATTCATTGACCATTTAATTAACACATTTTTGGTAATTATTTCGTTTTGTAAGAAATAGTTATATTAGTTTTTAAGTGGATAAAAGTGAGCCCTTGTGCCCACACGATTGTTGAAATCCAATGGCACAGATCAGTGTACAAAATTAGAAAAAAACGTGTCTTACCCCGGTCTGTATTCCAGCAATGAAACCTTGTGTATCGTACAATAAGACAACAGCATGGTCTCCATCTTTTATGTAACGATTTCCTCTAAATTTGGCTGAAAAAATGGATTTATAACCATGGTATTATTCCAATGAATGCCTGTTTCTGGTAAGACCCGATTAGCTCAAATTTGAAACTTGATTTAACGTTTTGCTCCTGGTGTGGGACAGTGCTGTAGTATCCACTATCCACCTACATGTCAAGTTTTCCAGTATCTTTCGCTTCTATTAATATGCTCCAAGTTTTTATTGTCTCTACTGTCAAAAATAAAAGATATAAACGCCCTTAAATACATACCTCCACAATCAGATATTTTAACAAAGCCGTCGTTTATAGCTGCATCTACAGTTCTTGGTAAGCTGTCAAATGTGTAACTATTGAATGGGTTGAGCCCACAGGTTACTGAAATAATCAAACAATGTATCAGAACACTCGGCATCACAGCTATTTGACATTCAATGAACTACTAACCCTACATATTTTGTGAACTGGGTGGAAATCGTGTTTAGGGATATACTGGAGAAGTCAGTCTTTAAACTAGAATGTGACAGAATCGGGTTTACCATCCTTGGTCATTTGAGACTCGTGTAACATCTTTTTAAAAAAATGTGTGGGAATTTGCAGTGGAGTTCCAGTCTAATTCGTTTCTTTTTGTTATGTTGTTCGATCCCTGCATTGGCCGAGAAAGTTCATGTCAGTGATGCAGGACGGAGGGCCTGACAAGGACAGCTGTCTAGTCGTTCGGATGGGACGAAAAACCGAGGTCCCGTGTACACATTGGCGTGCACGTAAAAGATCCCTTGACAGTTGGAATTAGATATAAGAGTAGTCCGTAGTGCCGCTGTCCTGGCAAAATTTCCCTCATAGCACACTGTATGGCGTATACCCGTCTTCATTAGCCCAGTTCGAAGCAGAACAGTAGGACGTTAAACCTCATTTCATTTAATTGCTTTTATGTTACAGAAAGGTATTTAATTTAGCCTGTGTACAGACGTTTTTCCAAGAATGATTTTAACCCACCTTTCAATCCGTTCCATTTTCCTGAAGTAAGAAAGAGAAAAAAAAGGTTAATTGAAATATCATTGTAATAAATTCACGTTTGCAATATGTAGAGAGGAAATCTCCCTGTCAACGAAACAAAATTTTGATCTAATTATATAATTCGATTTTGAATAACATTAGATAACATAAGTCTACTGGAGTATGCTTATAATCGAATATACTTACTTGAAAAAAACCCAAAGAAGATGCCATTACATACTGCTAGAGATGTCAAAATAAACACTAACAATATCGAGGTGTTCATTGTGACTTTGTGATTTGTTGAATGATATCAGCAATTAAAAGTTCTGATTATATATACCACGTTTAGTTACGTGGCAAACAAAACAAGTCCATGGTCTATGTTAGTTTAATTTGTTCACGTCCGGTTGACATTAACAGATTGTCTAATCTAGTAAAAACAATCTACATTATTGACCTTTGACTTTTAAAGCTATGCATCATATTTGGGAATGATGGATTTGGTTTATTGGTTGCTGTAACTAGTGTAACCGGAATAGCAATAAAGGTTATTATACATTTAGACCCACCTCCACACCAGGGAGTTTGTGCACACCTTAAACAGCCTTGTTTCTAAATATGCATTTAAGGTTTTGATAAAGAACCGACAGTTCTCGTTTAAAGATAAAAAATTAAAAGGAATATATTGTACATTTCAGTCAAATAAATTCTGATAAGCGGTTTTGATAAGAATAACGTAGTCTCGATTTTCATTGCTACCTTTGTTACGATAATAAACAAAGTCTCGATTATCATTTTTTTCAATTAAGTTATAAAATGGCGATCGTGTTTCAAATCATTAAAAATCACGACCACCCAATGTTCTAGAGGGTTGATTATGGGCTCGTCATGTGCATTAATGTCAAATTAATAACTCAGTAACATTTGAGGCCAAAAGAAAGACATGCAATAGGAAGATTTAGCTCGTCCTAAAAAGCGCAAAACGATTAAATGTTTTTGGGCTAACGGGGGAACGCACGGGCGCTTAGATCTGAACAATGGCGTTATATTTTGACGTAAAATTTTCAACAGGGACAGTTGGTCAGCACATAAAAACGGCAACACATCAATCCGAATAAAATGGACAATTTTATTGTTTACTTGAAGCAAAGTGTCATTTTAAAAAGCATTACAGTTCGACAGTCCTAATGTAGCATATGCAAACTGCCCGACTTCCACTAATAGTGAACTGATTGTTAGACCATTATAGATAACCCAGAAACAATTAGTTATTATATTGACAACATTGGGTTTTTTTTCGGAGGGGGTGGGGTGGTAAGGGTTTAGGGGATCAAACTCCTGCTAATTCCCAGAATAGTTAGGAACCAGGTGAAAATTGTAATTACATGATGTATTCCACTTCTTCAAACATGTATAATATACTAGCAGTATGATTAAAATCTCAGGAATATTTGGGCACATGGTTGGAATGAATGAATGAACTAGGGTTTAACGTCCTACTTTCTGCACCAACCGGGATAATGAAGACGGGTTTTCAGATAAAGACAATAACTAATACATACGTGTATCATTTCATTTATTTCCCTTTTTATACGCCCACGTGGAAATGTGGTCGTATATTATGGGCGCCTCCGTCCGTCGTCCACAATTTCTTGTGAACACTCTACAGACTACATTTATTATCTGATTAGTTTGAAATTTATATATATTCTTTACATTAGTGAGACGTAGAATCCTATTTAATTTCAACAATTTCCGTTAATGACTTTGTTGAACCTTTTGAACGCTCTAACGACTACAATTATCATCTGATATGTATTAAATTTACATGTCTTTATTTAAATTAGTAAAACGAAGAAGCCTATCAAATTTTAGCAATTTCTGTTTATAGATTCTAGAGTTATGACCCTTGTTTCATGTTGATTAACGTTGTAAACGTCCTATCGACAAAAGTTATCATCCGATCTTTATGAAATTTATATGCATTATTTAGATAACTAATTCAAAGAATCCTATTGAATTTCAGTAATTTTCGATAATTACGTACACGCCAACGTATAAGTACATGTGACCTCGGGTTTTGTCGCGACTAGCTTCTGTTCTTTGTTGGGCCCCCAGTCCTGCACCATTGACAAGGTGAAGCGTACAGTTGGTCCAACGGCTTATTGACTTTCGATCCACATAATATTTATGGAGTAAAGCACCCTTTCTACATTTAACAGGGTTAAAAACCCTATAAACAAATATAAAATCCCTGCTTAAAGCAGATTTAGTATTGACAAACACACATTCAGTGCATGTAATGATGAACCGCATTAGTGTGCATTAACCCGATTTTAGTCATCTCTAATCTATGAAAAATACATTGTTAGAAAAACAGGACAGGCTATGATATGATGTGATAACAGATGACGTATATAGATAACCAATATCCAAAATAAAATACGTTTGTCAAATTTCTTGCATAATTGTTGTGGCTAACATCACTTTTTATATTCAATATAATACGCTAAAAAGACCCTGAACATGACTACTCTTTGAGTAAAGTAAAGATAGGTTGCCAGACAACAAACATATATGCCCACAACAGCTAAGGCGTCCATGCAGTCAATAAGGGTTGTCGCATATCTTTTCTTTTGTCAGTAAGGATGATGTTTACAACACATGGAAATTTCATTACTAGTAATAGACCTATTAAGTAATTATCTGATATCATTAGAATTTGTTTGGATTGTTTGTCTCATGACTTTGAACAATTTATATGATCAAGGGCCATAACTCTAGTAGAAATTATCGGAAATAGTTGAAAATCAATAGGCTTCATCGTCTCATTAAACACTGTGTATAAATTTAAAGTCAATCGAATACCAACTTTAGCCCCTAGAGTTTCACAAGATATTTCAAGGTGATCAAGGGCCATAACTCTGACAGCAATTATCTGAATTCATTGAAAATGACTAGGATCTTTCGGCTCATGACCTTAAACACTGTATATAAATTAAAGTTAATCGGATACTAACTTTAGCCTCTAGAGCGTCCACAAGATTTTCCAAAGTGATCAAGGGCCATAACTCTGGCAGTAATTATCGGAAATCGTTGAAAATCAGTAGGATTTCTCTCATGACCTTAAACACTGTGTATAAATTTAAAGTCAATCGGATATTAACTTAAGCCCCTAGAGCTGACGGACGGGGGTGACAACAAAAAACGACTAAATGTGGGCGTATAAAAATGTATCTTTTTTCTGGTCAGATGTAATGTCCTATTAACTAGTGTTTTACATGGTTTGTTTGGAGTCATGACAAGGTGTGATTTGGGGGAATCTATATTTAAAATGAACTTTGTGGTATGGCTGTATTAACTAGATTTTATCAGACTCAATTATGGGGTCCAGTCCCACAATTGCATCTATTAACTGATGTTTTACATGGTTTGTTTGGAGTCATGACATGGGGTGATTTGGTGGAATTATATTCAAAATGGACATTGTGGTATGGTTGTCCCGAAATTACATCTACAGCGTTCACTTTTCCAAATTTTCTGGGGGAGGCCAGCACTTCCCCACCCCACCTTCAATATTTTAAATTTCTGCCCCCTCCCCCTTGTTGAAAATCCTGGATCCACCACTTTATAGGCCCACTATAGAATTTTTTGGCACTGTTTCATGCAAAGGGTAATCCTATATCAAGATCAAACCATGTTTTAAATAACTTTGCTAATAACTTTGAAGATTTTGAACTATATAAACAATAAAGAATTATGTTAAAGTTAATTACCTTTTATCATCTACTGTAAAGTAATACATTTTTTAATTATTTTATCAATAATCATGGTATAATAATTGATGAGGTAATATCCCCCCCCCCCCCCCCGCCCCGCCTTGGTCAAATTGTGCCAGATAAAAACCATCTAAACGGTTTTATATCTTGATTAAGAACATGTCTGCACCATAAATTCTGATTTTCAACATTCTGATTCTGTCAAATTCAATATTGTTACCTCTGTGGTGGGTTTATGCAGTCTAGAAACATCATTCTAATATCGCAGATTGTTTTGTTTTTTGGGTTTTTTTATCTGAAAAGTAATATTAAAATAAAATCGACTAGAGATGCTCTTTTTGGCAAGATTCTATAGTTCTCTATATTATATATTTCTAGCAAAACTAATAAATGTCATATGAATTGTTCTTTTTTAAAAAAAGATTTTACAGGCATATTTCTAAAACATATCTCACCAAGTTACATACTGATGGTAAAAAGAACAAATAAAATATAAATTTTAACATCTTTCTTGTAAAATCACTTTGCCATTGGTATTTGCCTAAAAACAACTTCCTGTATTTCATTAAAGCTTACATATCAGATCAAGCCTATAAAATATATATAGACATATCAAAACAAATATATGACACAAAAATAAAGATAATCACATACATAATTTATGTAACAATAAAATGGATTTATATATATACTGAACATTAAAGCACCTTTAATACAAAAAAATTACTTTACATAATAATATTAGTAAAAATATCCCTGACAATATTTTATTCGACATTATAAATCATAAAGCAAAAGTAGATGTTCAGTTGGCAAATATGTCTCCCATAGGTATCCAAATATTTTTAACTTGAACAGATTGATAGAGAAATTCCTCTCCCTGTCCCTGTTCTTCATCACTCCAATTTCGTTCTACGCCATAATTTACCCAAGTTCTCTTCAGATTTTCGGCTGATGCATGTTCTATGAACTTTGATCCCTCTGCCGTTCCAAAATACCACATAGCTTGTACATCTTGATGTTCCGAAAGATATTTAGAGAGATGATCACGATTCCCAGTTAAAATATTGACCACACCTCCTGGTAAATCAGATGTATCAAATACCTGGAAAATTGAAAATGATTTTACATTATAAAATGAAATTAGGAATTGTGATCTAATACACTGATCTATAATAATAATAATAATAATTTTATTTTCAATGCATGTTAGGCCAAAGACCCATAGTACACTCAATATATGTTAGTTCATGAATATTCATATTGTTAATCGACAATTTTAACATGTAATTGTCTCTTTTCAAGAATGCATGATATACAAATTTGCATATATGTTTCATTACATCATCACATTTACTTTGTAAATAGTTTAATGTTGATTCTCTATAATCAAAGTATGTGTTCACTTTATACAAAACTCTTAAATCGGTATAATTTTCACAAATTCTCAGAAAGTGTAATTCGTCCTCGACCACAGTTTTGCATTTAGTTAGACAGCAAAATTGACAATATCTCTCATAGCTATTTACACTGTTCGCTCGACCTTTCTCTACCTCTAAATTATGACTACTTAATCTGAGTCGACTGTAAGCGACTCTATACAATTTATTTTCAACACATGACATACACTGATCTAATACTGGGATGGGTGGACCATTTATAAAATCAAAGTGTAACAGTACAAACTGTTTTTAGTCATTTTTGTGAAATCACTTCAAATTTAGTTGCCTGGAAGAATAGTCCCAATTTTATATTTTTGCAGATGTGGTAATCTGTACAGCTAAATGTAAATACCTGGTAAATACCAGGTTTTCAAAAATTAGACAGAGCAACTCTTCTTGCTAGAAACAGTGAAAAATTGTTGTTAAAACTGAACTGAACACTAACCAGGTTCATTGGTACATTTTCATTTTAATAATCTACTGGAGTGCATAGAAGGGGGCAATCTGTTTCACAGAGAATTACGAGTCTAGTGATATATCTCTGTCAAAGATGACTGCCTTAACACGTGCTGTCACAGCACGCGACGTCAATCATTGGCTGAATGGCGCATGCATTGTTTACATAAGACGTTACTGCTTCGGAGTGAATGCTGCATTTTAGTCATTTTAATACCCATTTACACTAAACAGGAAATAATTTTTACTTACAAATACGTCAAACGACTTTATTTATTTTTCCAATACATAAAAAAAATGTTTTAGAATTTGATTTGTCGCAGGAAAAAAGTTAATATTTCTGGCTCATTAAGCCGCATCGATGTCATCCTTATCAGTGATTGTAGTGGCCTAGCAAATATTCACTGCGGATCAGTGTGAGAAGGGGGATGAAACCGGACTACCTAGAGACAATCCACAAAGTGACTCCTTGTCACGCACAGGTCTTGGAATGAGCCCTTGCATAGATAACAAGTCTTATGATGCACAGCATATGCAGTAGAAGAAGAACACTCAATCATCCCAATAGACATTGGACTAAGTTATACAATTATTTTTTAACTGTTTTATATACCTGGTAAAAATCAAGAGCTACTAGAGGATATTTTTCACTAGGTACAACAATTACAGCATTTCCTCTAATAACAGCTGGTGCAAACAAGGATACAAAACCCAGCAGAGGAAAATCATCGGGACATGCTACACCTATAACTCCTACAGATTCATGTACCTTTACTGTAGCTCCATATAATGTTGTTTCCTATAATAGATACAGTATATACTCTTTATCTAGAAAACATACAATACACAGTAGTTCTATTCTGTATATAGTCATAGCATGCGCCAGAATGATGTCCATCACTCACTATTTATCAACAAATACATCACATACTAGGTTTTTATAATAAAAAATGAAATGAAATGGGGTTTAACGTCTGTCCTACTGTTCTACTCTGACTGGGCTAATGAAGACAGGATTTTATAATAAGACTCTGGAAAGTAAGGGAAAGAAATGGCATATGATGTCTTACAGTATTTTAGTCATTTTAGACTTGTCTGGAAAGCGGCCTTTCTACCTACACATCTTCAAATTACAACCTTTTACTTGTATCAGAGTCTCAAATTTTTTTCCATCCAAATTTTGTTCCATGCTTATTTGCAAAAATTAGGTAAAACGAAATAGATAATTTTACCTGAACAGTTCCACCATATTTATCACAGTATGCACCCCAGTAAAATAATCGTTGTATAGCTTGATCCACCTCTAGTCTACTATCATCTATAGATTTACCACACATACTATTTATTCTACCAGCTATCTCTTCACGTCGTACTTCTAAATTCTCAGCCATATAATATACTATCTGGGCGCGATTATGGGCTGCTCTCTTTCCCCATCTGTAAGCCGACAGAATGATGAGATAACTGACATAAAGTTACATATCAAGTTGTCAGATCCTAGTTATATTTTAGTGAATAAAACTGTTTAACAAATCATCTAGTCTTTCTGTATGGAATTCAGATACATTAAACATATTTTTATAAATTAAAAATAACAGATATAAAATCAATGAACACAAATCGATTCTACATTTCTACTGTTTGAAGGTTAGTCAAAATTAATCTTCTACCAGACACCTGCAGATACAAGTTGTGAATATTCTCTTAATGAGTTTGAGCCAAGTCATTATGGTTAAATTGTAACACTTACCCTGGTGCTGCTTTATGTGCTGCTTCTACAGCATTACGAACATCCTTTCTATTACTTTCTCCTACTAACCCTACAACCTTTCCATCTGGATTTCTAATTGGTCGAGAATATTGACCATCAGGTCTTTTCTGTGCTCCACCATAATACAATTTATAGGTTCTATCAATACTGTTAAAACAAGAAACAAAACATTTGCCTTAATCATAACTAAGATATAGCATTTCAGTAAATAATTTCAACTGACTGACTCATATGAAAGTATTGATTTAAAAATCAATAAATAGTTTAAATCAATTTTATATCATTGAATCATACACAAATCAAAGGTTAAATCATTAAAACAGAATTATCACGAAGCTCAAATACATTTAAACTTGTCAGAAAATTGTCTGATATGTTTAAAAAAAGTTTAGTAATACATCGCAAACTTTTCATAGAAATGACCCCTGTGAATGCATGAGACGAGAAACTACGGAGCCATAAACAATGATATACTATACCTGGGTGTATCTGTTTCTGTAGCAGCAGGGTTATTATCAGTAACAGAAGGTCTAGGTGGTAATGTATTCCCAAATGTCTTCACGTTAAAACTTTCTACATCACTGGGACGAGCCCTTTCTTCCCAATATGGACGGACATATTCATATAATCCCTGGTAATTGAAATTATTTAAAATTAACAAGACATGCACAGGTAATATATAAGAATAAAATACTAAATACAGCAGCTACCAGTCAGTAAAACCATACTTATGTTTTTGTGAATACTTCAAAACCAAAACAAAAAAGCTTATTATGAACCATTAAGAAGAAGTTCATCTTAATTGTGGCTTATGAATCTTTGAATGGTTAGCTAAATTGTAACTTATGGAGCTTTGAGTAAGCTTATGGTTAGCTTTGAATAGAAAGTATCACATTAATGTTTGAATAAACTGAACAAGCGGTTGCCATGCAAGATATGCCCACATTTTACAAGAGATGGAAAGAGAACAAACTACAAAAGCTATTTTTATACAATAAGGGGCCATTATCCAGGATGTTATGGTCCGACATGCGTGAATATCAAAAGGAACCAAGATGTAGAGGGTCCACAAGCTAATTACACGATTTTTCATACAATCAGGGACCACAATCAAGAAGTTTAAATTCCATTATGTTCGTATTCGAAAGGAACGGAGATCTTTGGGTTATAAACATACATTGTAAGTTTCATCAAAATCAGATAAAAATTATTACCTCTATAGTGTTCACATGCTAAAGACACAATTTTTCGTACATTCAGGGGCCATAATCAATGAAGTTACGGTCCGATACATGTCAATATCGAAATTAAATGAGATCTTTGGGATATAAAAGTATATTTCAAGTTTCCTCAAAATCGGATAAAAATTGTGACCTGTAGAGTGTTCACAAACAAATTATGAATGGACGGATGGACGCTAACACAACGGAATAATAAAAGTTTCCCTTTGAAAGCAACTTACTTCTTTACCACCATCTCTTCCATAACCACTTTGTTTATAACCACCAAATCCTGCTGCAGCATCAAATACATTATGACTGTTGATCCATAGAGCTCCTGCTTTAATATTTAATGCAACTTCCATAGCTAAACTAATATTCTCAGTCCATACACTACCACCTAAACCATATTGTGTATTATTAGCTAGAGAAATGGCTTCTTTGGCCGTGCGAAATGGTAGAACGACGAGAACAGGCCCAAAAATCTACAATATAATCAAAGAAAGTATTTGCTTACTACTTAACATGTACATACTGCTTGACAAATAAACGAAACTCATTTTATTGCCTGATAAGGAAGAGTAAGCTCCCTTTTCCAAAAAGTGGCTCAAGAACCATAAACAACACAGCTTGCTATCAAAAATGTTTGATCTTCTCTGACAACATTGACTTCAGAGTATATAATAATACATGTAAAGCATAATAAAAATATTTATGTTGGAATAAATCTAAAATATAATATACCTTTCATTTATAAGGAGTCAAAACCAGATTCAGAATTAATATGTGATTAAAATATTTTCAATAATAGTAAAAAAACAACTGACCTCCTCTACTACAACTCTAGAGACAGTCTGTACACCAGTTATTAAAGTTGGTGGATAAAAACAACCTCTACATGGTATACTGATATTAGCTTGATGTACCTTTAACAAAAAATATACACATAGCTTAATGTACCTTTAATATATACATTATAATATTATTACTTACAAGATATATAATAGTAAGTGCAGGTGGGTCGCACCACACACAGACAAATACACAAGACAAACCAACGGACAGGACACAATATACAGACACCACAAAGAACAAATGAACATATCAGATCTTGTGAATGGATCAGGGGCTTACCGTAAGTGTTCAGTACACCCAAAATGAAAAACAAACTAACAATAAGGAAAGCAACTCAAGGAAAAGGGGAATATGTCCCGAACATTTTATCATACTAATGACGTGAATGATAATCGGCTATGTGCTACAAGAAATCTCAATGTAGGCACATTGAAGGAAAAACCTTTATAAGTAACCATTATAAGTAACCATTTTTCGTGAAATGTAGTAAAAATCCAATAAAATTAAATGGCTTATGTAGTAGTCAAAAAAAGTGATCAAAACATTATAAGCAAGAAAAAAAATCAAGTGTTACATGTATTTATTACAACATTCGGGCATAGTGTTCATTTCATTGTAACATTACTTTTCTTTACATATATTCTCAGCCAACCTGATCTTCACCCTATTTCACTGTAAATATATTATTTATTTTCTTTTACGTATATTCTAAAGCTATCTGATCATTATCCAATTAACATACCACCAAAAGATGTTTTAAAGATAAATTAAATAAGACAAAATTCCAATCTACCTCTGCTCCCTCTTGTCGAGCACTCTGAACAAATTCATCTATACTTCGTTTCTGAGACTCATCTACAATGGCTGCCATATCTATAGCTTTATCTAGACTATCACCAAGACGTAGATGTGACATTCTTTCCTTTAATTTAGAGACTAGTTTATCTATGACAGACTCCTGTACCAATAGACGTGACCCAGCACTACATACCTGTAATATTAGACATAATTTTTTATTCAACTGTACTTCGATAACTGTACTTATGGATTCTTTATAATTAATAAATAAAAAAAAAACAAACTGTAAATCTATTTGAAAGTCTTCAACCACAATAAAATTCACAATTAAACATAAATCTTGACATTATCTATCAATGTCTAAATATGTCATCACATCAATGAGCTTTAATGGATGAAATGATTGCTATACAAGATTCAATGTGAATTCTAGTTGCTCGTATCAATTTTCTATTGTAAATCTCTGGAAAAAATGAAATTTAAAAAAAACATATGCGAGTATTCCATACCTGTCCCTGATTAAACCATATAGCATCTACTACACCTTCAACAGTGCTATCTAAATCAGCTGTATCAAATACAACTACTGGAGATTTACCACCTAATTCTAATGATATCTTTTTACCAGATCCTGCTGTAGATCTTCTTAATACCTGACCTACCTACAAAATACAAGTTATAGAGACAAAATTAAGACCTGAAACCCATACTTTAGTCAGCAATCCAAATGATTCATGGATATTTGGTTGATCTTATATATCACCACAACATGTATATAAATGTTTAGAAAATACAAATATTATATAATAAAAAAGTTAAATAACATTTGCGGGAAAACGGGGTACGAAAATCGATTCCCGAATTGCTCTGCTTATTTACGAGGACTATCCAGATATATATCAGCTAAATTGCGATAAGATAATATTTTGTACCAATGATTATTATAGCTAGTGCCAACGTGTATACTATGCCATTGATTCTGTGGCAATCGGATAATTATTATTTAGTTTATACGCTAAAAACTGTAAGGCCAAAGGGAGATAATTTAGATACTTTGAAAAACTAATAAAGTGTTTATAAAAATGTCATATCTCCAGACCTTGCTCTTAAAAACCGAGTGGCTTAATGAGCAGTTTCTGCGAAATAAGCAGGTGAAAACGGAACATAATATTAATCTGACCCAAAAACATGAGTGTTTAACACAAGATTCACGGTGTGAAACCTAACAGGGCCACAGCAGTGTGTCTCGGTCACACCATATATCTTACTATATGGTGATGTTTTAAGAATTTTAAATGTACGTGCCTTTCCTATTGTACATATTTGATTTTATAGCTATATTGTAAAGCGCACTGGAGCACAGTACTGTGGAAGTGGCGCTATATAAATCCAAAATAATAATAATAATAAAGAGAATAGTGGATTTTATCGAACTTCTGGGCTTTTATTAAGGCTCACTGAAGAGAGCAACGGGATGACAATTTCAGGTATGTCACCAAATTTTGCCTGTTTAAATTAAAAACTGAAGAAATGGTGAGGAATTTTGGAGTCGGGGTATCTTATGGAACAGACAGTAGCATTGATAATCAGAATTGAGGAAATTTCAGATTTGTTCTACATTAACACTTACTTCTGTAGAACCAGTAAAAGCAACTTTATCCACATCAGGATGTCCTGCTAGCTGTCCACCAAACGCACCATTTCCTGTTACTACATTAAATACCCCGGGTGGTAGACCAGCTTCTGCACAAATCTCAGCAAACAACAGTGCTGATAATCGTGTATAGGTTGCTGGTTTTAATACAACTGTGTTACCCATAGCTAATGCTGGACAAACTTTCCAGGTTAACAACATTAGAGGAAAATTCCATGGTACAATGGCTGCTACCACACCTAGAAACAGATTTAAAATCATACTCGTAATCATTCTACTGATGTCAGAAATGCAAGGTACACAAATACAAAATATCAAAGCGAATTACGCCTAGTTTAAAATATCAGCACAGACAGATTTTAATCTACGTATTTAATATTTTGCAGTAAATACAAACCAACAGGTTTCCATCCCCTCATCTCAGTCTCCATTAACTGTGCCCAGCCGGCATGATGATAAAAATGGCGAACAACAAGAGGAATATCCGCATCCCTTGTTTCTCGGATAGGTTTACCATTATCTATAGCTTCTATAACACTGATTAATCTTTGATGTTTCTGTACATGTCTAGCAATACTGTAATAAAATATCATGTTTATATCAAAAAATTCATTCTTCAAGAAGGAGTAATTTAACAGGACACAATCTGCTTGATATAGACTTAAAGAATTCTAACCAATAGTCACTCAGTAATAAACAGTTATTCTATGTAATATAATTGTGTATATTTTCGACATTTATCAGTTTTTTCTTGTTACCTTGAGAAGACATAAAAATTAAACAGAATATTGAAGATAATTACCTGTATAAATGTCTAGCTCTAACATGTGGGGCCAGTGTACTCCATGATTTAAATGCTTGACGTGCAGCAGACACAGCAGTTTCAACATCTTCTTCATTTCCTTGTATTGTGGCAGTTAATTCTTCACCTGTATTTTAATATTTTTATTTATATCACATCTTATAACACAAGAATTCCTCCACTATTTTTACTCCATTTGAATCTAATTTTATAGCACAGGAATTTCATAATTATTTACACCATTTGAATCTAATTTTATAACACCAGAATTTCCCAGTCATTTACTCCATTTAAATCTAATTCACATATTACTTTTAAATGAAAATTCTATGTCAAAGCTTGACTAAAAGGAGCTAAATCGCTAATATTTAGGACCTACAAATTGACACAAATGGGTCGCAACGTATATAATAATGTAATGAGTTTATTTACATTCAATCGTTTCCGTTTTTACTCTAATTTCAAAGCAGTTATGTTCGGCGAAATACGCCAGAAGTCTCAATCGAATGGTAATCTCGAGCGTCTGGTTATTTCAGTCTATACTGATAGTAATTATTGTGCATGCTCTCCAGATAAGAATATGGGGTCACCGTTTGACATGACTTGTGGAATATGTCTAACCTCGTTCTTCGAGTCGCTTGCTACAAATTGGGCTGAAACGCATTATGGTACACGATTCGTGTACCAATCGTAAAATGTTTATTTTGTCTTAAATATTGAATATCAGAAGCCCATCTTTTCCCGGTAAGACCACAACACCAATGTTGATTACAACGGACAAATAATTTGTGTTTTCAATGTCGAAGGTTTTGGATGATATTGAGTTAGAGACTTAGTTACTTTAAGATTAGATACCTGTAGCAGGTGATTTAGTTGTATATTTCTTTCTTTCACCAGCTGGTTTATACCATTTACCATCAATAAAATGACCAAAATCTCTTTGATGATCTTCTAACCAGGCCTACAAGGATTTATAGCAAATACAAATGACTGTATTCTGCAACATTTACTATCTATCAGTACCATGTCAATTATTGTACATAAACCAGCGTTGCTATTTCAAATTTTTTCTTGTCAGACATTTTCACCGATTTTCAGTCTGATTAAATGAGTACAATCTCTTTGATTTGGTCAAATATAAGTGTCAATCTAATTAAATTTGATTTGTTTTACTAAGTGTGTATCTCTATATTACAAAATTCAGGTCTGTAGATAGAAACAAAGTTGTGATAACTAATTTTGTGTTCAACAATCAATACTTTAAGACATACTGAAACTAAAATTAGTAAACAAACCGACTTTCACTATTTCAAAAAGAATAATCCATCATAAAGAGCTGTTCTTATCACTATAGAAATAAAACATCAGATTAACCCAATTCAATCCTTTTTTTTTAAAGGGAATTTTCAAAAACGTTTTATTCTGGGTAGATGCACATTGCTAACTTTGAGTAAATATATCTTCTTCAATTATGAATGGATTTTGATAAAGATTGTTTATTGGTATAGCAAAAGACAGGACCTTTAAAACACATGCCATTTTTACCTGTTTACTTTAACTGAATTTCCTGATGTTGTGAATGCAGATTACTGATACCAGGTAATCAAAGATTAAACACAGTTTAATTTTATTTGTTTTTAAAAGGATATTTGAGGGAATTCAAGAATATATCCACCCCTAGCCACATTACCTGTATTACATCCCTTAAATATGGGCAAAATGATCATGGGTTGCACATAGGATTTTGTGAACATGAGGGATTTTACCCCATGATTTCCTCAATGGGCCATTTCACCATGGACTTTCTAATGGCGTTGCCCCATGGGTTTCCTATGGACTAGCGTTTTGTGTTTTTTTCTATTACCATATTCAGATGAAGAAGTAGGTTATTTTGGAAACTTTATATCATAGACAACTACTTTAAATTCTGGACAATTTTAAAATAAGTAGGAATATATGCAGTGAACAACGGTTAGAGTTCTGGTCAAGTATAGTTTAATGAAAAAGATGTAATATTTTGAAATTGTTTAGAGAATCCTTACAACAGTGTATTTGAAACTGTAATTCTAAGTAGCCTACATACTATAATAACCTGGTTGAATATGCTATAGTGTGCGATATTGTAACTGTGTACTTATATTAACCTATAAAGATGTAGATAAGGTCACATATTATGGTAGTTTATAAACAACCTTAGTCTTATAGTCCAATAGGAAATTTTACGTTTTCGTTATATATTTTTGCAAAGTATAATTATGGGATATGGGTCTGTTTTTAGTTTTGTTATTGCAATTTGTTTAATATAGAATGGTATTTATATTATTAATTAGGCCTATTTGTTCCCTCGGCATGGTTTGCCCTTGTCAGTGATGCAGGACGGAGGGCCTGTCAAGGAAAGCTGTCTAGTCGTTCGGATGGGACAAAAAAACGAGGTACCGTGTAGGCCCTACACATTGGAGTGAACGTAAAAGATCCCTTCACAGTTGGAATTCGATATAAGAGTAGGAAGTATTGCCGCTGTCCCGGCAAAATTTCCCTCATAGCACACTGTATGGCGTATACCCGTCTTCATTAGCCCAGTTTGGAGCAGAACAGTACTCAGTACTAGGATGTTAAACCTCATTTCATTTCATTTCACTTCCTATTTATAATTTATTTGTTCACCCATTGTTTTGAAGTGATTTGCCAAATGAAGGAAGGTTAGATAAAGGCTATTGAGATCTACAAATCGACAACTCCATCAGAACACTATGAAATACAATATAAAATCACTCAGTCTGCTAAAGAAGCTACCGCGATACCCATAAAATCAACTGGTCTGCCTAGACAGGCGACCATTTCTAATCTGCAATAAAACACACCCCACTTCAGCTAATAAACCCTCTTATATAGAGCCAACAGCACGTGCACTCCAAGATTATACAAGAGTTTGGGAGATCCATATACGTAGTCGAGTTTAGGCAACCCATCAATGCGGTCGAGTTTGGGAGAGCCAAACCTACTCTGAACGTTAGAAACCTGTCAAGTTACGAAATCACTACAGTTTTGTATGCTGCCATCCTCCTTAATTCCCTTTTTGGACACATCTAATCACCCCCCACTCTTGCAGTTAACCACCCTTGGATTGTTTATTCATACAAACATTAATCACCCCAGTAAGAATGATCTAGGCCTAGTGACCGAATTATTTCCCCATTCGTGTCACGTTATGCCTCTCATGACTGGACAATCAAAGCTAAAGGATTATTTTAGTCTGTTTTCCAAAATAACTTTTAAGTGCAACCGTTTCACACAACAAATATCTTTGTACTATAAAGATTGTGCATAAATACAAACTTTTGCAACGTTGTCAGCTTCTGGTGCTGGTCCATAACTGAGAGATTCAAATAAATTCGACACCGAATTGTGCTGGGGAGCAACTCCTGTCGCAGCCATTGTGTAGACTTTTTATCTAGTCACTTTATTGCCCTTGTTCTTGATATCACCCTGGCACCCCGTGATCTTTTAGTATGTGGGTAGGGTTTTATAGTTGTGACAAAAAAAACAGCAGTTTACGCATTTGTGGTATAAAGTATAACTAACAAGCTAACAAGTACAGACTTAGAGTGGAAAAAATAATAGTGACGGAAATGATGTGGTGCACAAATTCAGTTCGCAGCGCCCCCTCGATGTTGAGAATACCGGAAGTTTACAATTCCTGCATGTAAACAAACAAGATCACTCATATGTTTATGTTGTTGAATTTTTAATGTTCATTCATTAGATTGACATACAGCTTATTCTGCATTACAGATACAATTTAAAATGGAAAATCTGATTGAATCGGAAAGCGATCAAGCTAAGGCATTACTAAATCGGCTTTTGATTGAATCGGTAAATCTAAGTTCTAACATCATGATCAACAGCTATTTACTTTTACTCATACTCACATACTGCCTTACTCCTAGACAAGTTATATGTCTCTAATATGTAACAGGCATTGCCTGAGTAGAGCGAAGCTGATTATTGTTAAATATAAAACCTTCATAATTAATTTTCTCAAGTGATACAAAAAATGTTAAATAATTTAGTTTTTATTGAGATCTAAATTTTATACATTAATTTTGTTTTTAAAAAAAGAACAAAAAAGTGTGAGAATTATTTTCATTGACGTAAAAAATATGTGACGTCATTGATTAGACGCGTCATAGAAATAATTCTATGAGGCGCGTAATCTCGCGTAGGCGAGATTTGGTGGATAGAATTATTTTTGTTAGTTACGTGATCTCGCTTGGGCGAGATTTGGTAAGTTGACATGCGCATTGCCTGTTTTGCCCAGTGTATCTGGTTGCGGTCTGAATTTTTTTTTAATCAACAGTCTGTGGGTGACATTTTCAATTACGCTCCTGTGTTACCGGAAAAGAGCTTTGCTCAAGCACCGCGCTTTGCGCGGTGCTTTAGAGCTTCGCTCTATATTAGTACTAGCCTATTCACTGTAATGTTACTATTAGCTGCAATATTTGTCATGATAATTGTCTTATTCATGGCTACAATTGATACACTATTACTTTGTGCAAGTAAAGTTACGGTCGGTCAATTGCAAAATACTGTAAAACATGAAATTATTGCGACATGAAATTATTGCCAGTTGGGGTGGTGAAACATAATTGCGACATATATTATTGCGAATTTCTATAGTGGGGAAAAAATTATTGCGACATGAAATTATTGCGAATTTAAATAATTTTTTTTAGTAAATTTGTCTATAAAATGTGGTAGATTGTTAATTTTGAGGTGACAGTCGGCTCTTCAAAACATCGTTGATTGGTGATCATTAGTAACAGTAAATAAACAACTATTGAGGATTATGGCTTTGAGTCTGTATTCAACAGATCAAAAAAAATTAAATACCTGTTATCAAACTCAATTTTTAAATAATTATTGTTAAATTAAATCCCTTGATTAACTCCAAGCTGACGAACGACTATAAAACACATGGCATGGGACATTTTTATTACTTTCAAAATGGCGATGTTTAAATTTGTAACTAAAACGAAACGAAATGTGAATTGTTTTCATGAGGAAATTCTCGACTTGCCAAATCCCGATAATGCAAGCACTGTTGAGGAGTGTGACAATATTACTGCCGCAAATAGTGAGATTGTTGAAGTCTTAACTCCGACCAAATCATCGAAAGATTCAATAACTAAACGTGGTGTTAAACGGAAGGCCAAAAACAATACGTATACACCTGAATTGCGAGCGAAAATTGCAAAATATGCGACAGAAGATGGAAATTCCAAGGCCGCAAGAAAGTTTTCTCAAGATTTAAATTTAGGGGAAAGTACAGTTCGGGCAATGAAACGAAAATATCTTTATTAAAATCTTTATTTTTATTTCCTTTACGCCCCAGGTTAATATTGGTACTTATTGGGAGTCTTTCTTGTGAAGAGTAATGAAGGGGGGATAATTCAATATGGCCGACATTTTAACGAATTTTCACGAAATTATTGCAAACATGAAATTATTGCGAGAGGGCCTCGCTCGCAATTTTCGCAATAATTTCATGCTCGCAATAATTTCATGTTTTACAGTATTCAATACATAGGCCTATCCATCACAGTTTGCATGGAAATGAGTAATTATGTATGTTACAAATTGTGAAGAGTGGAGCACTGAAATCCCAAACAGTTTTTCTGTGTTTTCGAGGTGACATGTTCTAATTCTGGTTTAGCGGCCATTTTAAAATGGACATATATTTCGCGTAGAAGTTGGTTTTTTTTTTATCAAATCATATAATTATGCAGTAACGTTTCACCTTTGTTTCAATGGGAATTAATTGGTTTATTATATGTTAAGCTATGTGCAGTACAGTTTGGGGTCAGTTTAATTGGAAATTAAGTGAGTTATAGGTCAGTAACTTTTTTGTCATCAAATCATGACAAAACCTGCTAAAAGGAAGACCTTAAAGGAAAATGTATGAGTCATTATCACATATGTGATAGAACTGGTTAACACTTTCAAAATATAATTTTAACACAGAGATCATTGCAACGATAGATGTGTAATGAAGATTTCAAGAAACGGAAGTGACAAAAGCAGAAAGGAAAACACAAGTTATCCTTCTATATAACGAGAAAAATAGAAATAGTCTGTATATTCCCTTGTTTTTATTCATTCTAAAACATGGTAATGCACGGAATGTTTCTATTTTTTCGGTTTCTCTTATCTAGTGACAGTCTATTATGTTTTGGAATTGTCAAATATCATCCCACAGTCTTATATAACAACTTTTGGTCTTCGAAGGAATTATTAGTGAGCTGAAATTTGCCCGTGTATCTGTTATCACTCGTCACTTCAGTCAGTTATATATAGAAGGATAACTTGTGTTTTCCTTTTGTTTTCGTCACTTTATCATAGCAATGATTTCTGTATTAAAATTAGATTTGGAATGTGTTTAACCAGTTCTATCACATATGGGATAATGACGGACAAAAATATTGTCCTTTCTACTGTGGCTGGAGCAAGATGGAAGACGTCAGTAGTGGAACCATTTCTATGTTAATATATGCTTTAGGTTGAAGGGTTACCATATTTTTCACAGTAGAAACCTGGACATTTATTATCAAAAGTCGAAAGCAAATTTGAGCTGGAAGCAACCAAGGTTGTGACATATTGAGCGACCATAGGGCGCAATATATTAAGTTTACTAAAGGGACGTTAAAACTAGTCTGATAGAAGGTGGCACTGTATTAATGTGGGTACTAAATCACACATTTTCAAAATTTATATTTGAGATTTGAGGCTAGGAATTTTTGTGCAAAATAGTGATTTTCTGTGACGGCCAAATTTATCGATGCCAGTATCAATGTTTGCTTCAGATGCATCACTATAATGCTGTTGGGAGCCATATTTACACTGATCTTATTATACTAAAACATGCCTTTAGTGAACTGCATAATAGTAATATCAGTCTAAATATTAAAACTAGACGTCACTCATTAACATCCAAATATATTTATAAAAGATCCAGTCATCGCTGGCATAGATTTTTGTCTATAGCTATCTGGATAATCAAGGCATTTAAGGGTTTGCAGAAAAATTGTTCAACATCAAGGGTTGTGATCGGTTTATGGTAACGAAATATATTTCAAGCATTATAGACAAACATGTAACTGATAATAGAGTAAACAATCGAAAAATAAGGTGAAATATCAGTCCCAAAATTTTTTTCATAGCAAAATTAAAGTTATTGGGGCCCAAAGCATTGACATATCTAATTGCTTATCTCTGCTTAGAGTATGCAAAAAATACCACATCAAGTTTTATGCTCCAAAAAGTGGGAAAGCATGGACGGACCCATTTTAATAGTCCTCTGTTTTATTATTATCATTTATGTATTTTACATGTAATTTATCTGAAATTAAAGTTAGTGTCATCCAGGGCAAGTGTTCAAAACTATTGGTCCTCTTATTTTCTTGTATTTCCAAGAAACACTATGACCCAATCAACTGAATAAACAGATTGTAACTTCCTGTACTGTAAAATATGTGTGTTTTGTTTTATAGAATAATGGCCAGAACATGAATGAAGCAATGGCTGGTGCACAGTCTCTTCCTAAATCATATACAACAGTTGTGCCAACTCCAGGTAAATATTGATTACAAATGCTTACGTTGAACCGATTCTGACTTGGTGCCATTAAACCTTCGGCACGAAAATGCTCGAGCACATATAGCACACATTTCGATGGAGTTCTTGAATCAAAACAACATGACATTTCTAGAATGATTAGCTCTCTCATAAATCCAGCATCTGTGGACAATACTATACACAGTCCCGAACTGCTGAAATAAATCGCATAAGCAGCAATTCAGAAGTTTGTCTTCTTCATATATCAAGGTGGCATGGAGGTGGACACATATCTTATTAGCTTTTGATTTTTCACAATAAAGTTGTTACATCCTCCGTGGGTTGTTGTTTTTTCGGCAGATGTCCAGCCTACAATCACTAGATAGTAGATAAATCATTGGTTGGTAGATTACAATCTGTATTCAGTGAGTATTAGTATCGTACGTAACTAACGTACGAAAATTAATTGGTGGCTAGCTTTTTTTTCCGCAGGTAGCGTGTCTCACTAGTCTCAGATGTTCCGAATGTATTAGTATAACAGTTAAACATACATTATGCAAGAGCTAAATCTGCCTATTGGAGGTCTTTCTTTAGGCCTTAAATGTTATCTAAATTATTAATTAAACATTAATTAACTTGTCAAGACCATAATCAACTCTTGTCTTGATGCCATCGTTAGCCTGCGATATTTAGTGGGTTTGAATACGTTTTGTTGTGGATGAAATAACCTAAAAATGGATAATCAAGACTTTGTTTATTATGGTAACAACTGAAGTAATGGCGATCGAGCTAGCCTAAAATTGAATCGCTAATATCTAGGTTAAGAGTGAAGCAATTTAACTGAAATTTTCAGCATATTCTCTTTTCTTAGCAAATACGCTAAAATGTGGACATAGTCTGGTTCTACTTGAACTGAGGACTACTGGACATCCCTCATTTTTTTTATACACTTGTATTCTTTTTCTAGGATTTTGTTTGAAAACTAAAAACAAAAAGGGTGAAAAATTCTTCATCAATATCTGTAAATCAGAAAATGTAAGTACAATATTTATAGTTTTCACACAAGTAAATTACATTTATTCTTTTGTCTTTTGGTAAAAACTTTCTTTCTTCTTTTTTCAATTTTAGTCGTTCGGATGGGATGAAAAACAGGTCCCGTGTACACATTGGCATGCACATAAAAGAACCCTTGACAGTTGGAATTTAATATAAGAATAGGCCGCAGCACCACTGAGCAGGCAAAATTACCATCATAGCGCTCTGCATGGTGTATGTCTGTCTTCATTAGCCCAGTCAGAGCCTACAGTTCCACGTTAAATTTCATTTCTTTTTCCAATCCATATTCCATAGTTTTCATTACTTTCCAATTCTTATCTTCATAAAGCAAATAGAAAATAAACTTAAAATATGATTATATTTTTTTAGGTTCCTAAACCTGATGACTTGTCTGATGATGAGCTGATTAAACTTCTAGAATCAGATGATCCAACTGGTTTTAGAATACCGATGAGTATTGGAACGCCTCATGCTGAACTAGATAAAGGTAAAAATTCCTGCTGTTGTATTTTAATAATTAAAATCTTCAATATTTGGCTATTTCAACTTGCAAAGTGTCATGAGTTTTATAAAGCCAAAGAAGTTTAATTCTGAGATTTTTGATTAAACAGTGAATAAACTGGATATGTGTTCATATTCTTTTAAGTATAGTACATAATAATTAAAATCTGAGGAATTAAAATTATTCACAAAAATAGTGTTGTCTGAAATCTTAAAAAATGATAAATAAGTTAGATGCAAACATTAGTTTCCTTCCTTACCGTTACACAGTAATTATGTACATTTTGTAGGAGGCAGTGGTTGTACAGCATATGATGTAATAGTAAATCCTGAGTTTTATGATAAAATGGAAACCAGTGAGTTATTTAGAACATTTTTTATGACTGTCATGTTAGAAGGTGTAGAGAGTAAATATGATCAAGAATTATCTAGAAGTAAGTTAATATTTGTACTTAAAATGTTTATTCACAAAACAGAATTTAGCACTTCTAAGCAGAGTTAAGCAATTGAGTGAAAGTGATGAAACTTGGTGTATGGTTTCATTACAACGATACCTTGACAAAGTTCAATTGTGTATTTTCTGCTCAGGTTAAGCAGAATAATATACAATTTGATTTCTGAATTTTTTTTAAAAAAGAATTATTGATTGTCATCTTTTCATTTTGGGATTGAGGCCTCAGTGTTGGCTTGTTTAGAACTGACTCATATAGAAATATTGAATATGCTATTTGAAAATCTGATTCATTGGATATTAGAGTTATTCTTTTGCATTCAAAAGAGTATGGGAACAGAAAAAAATATTGTCAATGTTGTTTGTTTTGTTAGATTTACATGAGGTAAGGTATGCCTAATCTTTCTAGAAATGCTGATACCAATTCTCATTCATTTGGAATGTTCACATAATAAATTTAGAATTCTTTGTTTAGATTGGGTTATTTTGAAAAATAAGAAGTTTGCTGGAGATCTAGCAGAACAGTATGTGAGAAATAAATCTAATTCACTGATTACAGAGATGGATGAGTAAGTTTTTTTTTCTAACTTTACATTATCTCAAGTTTATGAGGTTTTGTTTATATTTTGAGTTTTAACTTTTTAAGATAAGAAATTTTGTGGAAAAATGTTTATTGATTTTTTTGTATTTTAGCAGTCAGCATAAAAAGAAAATAATAGAAGAAATACAACATAATACTATAGAAAGAAAAAGGTTAGTACTTCATCTTGTTATCTTACCGGTACTTATAGTTTTGACTTTTGATCCCTAGCATGTTCGTGACAAGGAGTAGGGAGAGAGAGAGAAATGGGGTTTAATGTCCACTCGACACAAACTAGGTCATTTCGGGACTAACATATGGTTTAATTTTATTTCAATAATTCGCTTGCACGTACTGGTCTTTAGCAGTGGGAGGAAACCGGAGGACCCGCAGAAAACCTACGAGGTTGAACAGGCGACCCTACTCTTTGTCACATACAACCGGGGATTCGAAACCACGCCAGTTGACTCAATGACAGACTTTATGATACAGCGCGCGCACGCTAACCATTCAGCCATCCAACCCCCCGACAAGGAGTAGGATTGTCTGTCCAAACTTGTGGGTTCTCTGTAGGTCATCTGGTTTCCTTCCACTGCTAAAAGCCCCTATGCTCAAGCGATTTTATTGAACCATATGTTCATCCCAAAATTATTTACTGGTAATGATTAGTTCAGTCAGTGTGTTAATTGAACCGACAATAAACATTGGTGTATAACCATGTAACATTATGCGTCAATCAACCAGATTAAGGTTGTAATCGAAAAACTTAAAAGTGTTTTAGAGCAACTGACACATAAACAGCAATATGTCAAATAACAAATAACTTTAATCAGATTTTTTTTTTGAATTGTTGTAAAGCGTACTACACTAACTATAAGGTCGTAAAAAAATTTTGGGTCATTTTTTATGCGCTCTTTAAGCTTATGTGGCCCACTGAATACCACAATTAAATTTTCTTATTTTATTAGAAAGAGAAGTGGTAGAAGTTATAATTCTATTTCAGAGCTCCTGAACCCAAATTTACTATTTTACAAGAACCAACAACCGGTCATCCAGACTTCCTAGTAGCAGAAATACATTTACCACAAGTTGTAAGTTTTTGTATTGTTTCTAAATTTATCCTGGGAACATGAAATGGATACACCGTATATTGAAAACAAAATTCTAAACCATTCATTAATCTAGAAATGCTCCAGATACTAGAAAATGTTCTCATTTTGGATTGGTAATGATATTGTCTAAACTACTAAGTTTTTACTTTAAACTGACACAGAATCAATCGTAGACTGGTACCCTCCAATTTCGTCTACGTCCCATTTCGACTACAGCTTATAACAACAGATTATATGGTCTGGTGGTTTTATTATCCCTACTTATATACCCTCTCTATAGCTAAAATAGATTCTTCCATAAAACATGCCATTTAGGCATTTACTATCTTCCACTCCTATTGCAAGAAGTCATTTTATCATATAGCCATTTGTATTGATTTCATAAAACAATCAGTAGTCTGTTGTATGGGTCAACAAAATTAATTTAGTCCTGAGATAAACACACTTATTTTCCAAGAAGACCAACAGTTTATTCTTTTATCAAAACGATTTAAATCTCCATAAAGCAACTCTTACGTTATTTCGAGCCCAGCACACTGTACAATCATCTAAGTCTCTGTATTATCTCTATATTTATGTAATTATGTATGTATGTATGTATGTATATATTTATAATGTGTACGTGTATCTAAATCAGAGAGAGTGGTTACACATAGGCATAGCCTGTTCCCCAATCCAAATTTAGATTTAATGAATAAAAATAGTGTTTAAAAAAAAAAAATTCAGTATACATTATATATTTATGATGCAGTCAGCACTACATAATAAATTCTGGTAATTTCCTGTATTTTGGGAATTTATTCTCCAGATACATTAAGTCTTTCTTCTGTTTTCAGATGTTTTATAAACTATTATTTAGACATTTATTCACTTGACAAGCCTAAAACTTACTCTCTAGAGCATTGGATTGCTGAGATTTAAATGGATTTGAACACAGGCAAGATTTCAAAATTTAATGATAAAATGGACAATCAAAGCTTAGTCTTAGTTGTCAAGTACAGTTACTACAGTAATAAACGCTACATCTTCAAACAGTCATAAATTTACCCAGAATTTAAGGAATTTGAATGAAATTACAGTATAATCATTTTTCTTTATCTATTTTTGAACTACCAGTGTTATAGCAAGAACAGTCAACTCTTTATCTAAATCTTACAATATGTATCTTTAAGCTGTTTCATAGACACTTCCTTCTTTCTTTATATACTATTCAAAAAAAGTAGGGGATATTTGATTTTGGGGGCATAATACTAAAATATGCAAATGACTACGAAAAAAGTCACTATAGAACCTAACAGAAGAAACATTTCCAGTTACATGTGACGCCCAAACGTACCAATAGCTACCGCATGGAATGCAGGTGATGCTTGGGATCATCATGGGGGTCCAACCCAAGATTTGCACGACTCTGACTTTGAATGTTACAGTCATTGTGGCATTGAATTCCAGGGTGGAAACATCAGTTTAATTGTTTTAGTGACCAGAAAACAAATTTTGATATGCGTCGGCTTACCCAAAATGAAAGGTTACGTGCCCTTGGCATGCTACAGATCGGCACAACACAGGCGGTTGTGGCGCGGACGATGAATGTTTCTCAGTCTGTCATAAGCAGGCTATGGTCCAGATACCGTGATACACAATCTGTACAGGACAGACCACGCTCAGGTCGACCAAGGGCGACAACTCAAGCCCAGGATCGATTTATCCGTACCTTGGCCTTGAGAAATCGTGTCATCACAGCAAATCAGATCAGTGCTCGTCTTCAAACAGACACTGGTGTGAGAGTGAGTGGCCAGACGATTCGGAATCGACTGCATAGGGGTCACCTTCGCGCCCGACGTCCTCGCGTGATCCCTTGTTTGAGAGATCATCACATTCAGGCAAGACGTCGTTGGTGTAGGGATCGTCAACACTGGGATAATCGACGCTGGAGCAATGTGATGTTTTCAGATGAGTCAAGGTTCACTGTTGATTTTTTGGACAGACGTAGGAGGGTGTGGCGTCGTCGAAACGAGCGCTTCCAAGACGTTAACGTCATCAGACATGATCGATTTGGGGGTGGTTCTGTTATGGTGTGGGGAGGCATCACTGTTGCTGGAAGAACGGCTTTACATGTTGTTGCAGGGCGTGTTACAGGCCAGTACTACCGGGACAACATCTTGGCAGTCCATGTTGTGCCGTTCGCAAGACGTCATGGCCGCCGTTTCATCTTCCAGGATGACAACGCAAGATGTCACAGGGCCAGGATCGTTACAGGTTACCTCCAACAACAGAACATCACCACATTACCTTGGCCAGCACTGAGTCCCGACCTCTCCCCCATCGAGCATGTCTGGGACATGCTTGGACAGAGGTTACGTCAAAGTCAACAACGTCCTGCCAATGTCCAAGAACTTGCTGCTGCGTTGCAACAGGAATGGGACAATCTGGACCAAAATGACCTTAGACGTCTCATTAGGAGTATGCCACGTCAGATCAATGCTTGTTTGGCAAACAGAGGAGGATTTACCCGTTACTGACTTGGTTGTGATGCTGTGGTGTTTGACCCCGGGTATCATTTTACCCTTATAATGGTCAGTCTGTGCCTTACTTAGTCTAACGATCATTTGGAATAAATCGATGAATGTGAACTTCATTTCATTTTGTCATTTGTTTCTTCGTCAGTTTCATTAGGTGACTTTAATAACACTTAAAAATCAAATATCCCCTACTTTTTTTGAATAGTATATATCAGAAGATTGAAACTGTAAATCAGATGGAAATTTGTATTATTTTTTTTTCTACAGAAAACAAGCCAGACATTAAGTTTAGATGTAGGAGAAGATAGAATAGTTTTAGAAACCAGATCTAATGTCTATGATTTAGATATTTATTTACCCTTTAATATTGAACAAGATGAATGTGGAGCACAGTTTGATAGAAAAACAAAAGTAAGTTAATATTCAAATTCAAAGGAATTAAATTACCCAGGCTAGGATAGGTGAGGGCACTCAAACTTGAATTCTCTGAATCCTGTGAAATGTATCAATTGAGTAAACACAAGAATTATGGGGGACAGGACATGTGTTAAAATAAACATATTTTCTATGTTATACTCACACCTAAGCTTTACTGGCAAAACTGTGACAATTGCGGTTCCTTCAATTTGGAATGTTCCAGGTTCACAATTGAGAAATCCCAGAGATCACATTGCATACATGTTTTTGAAATGAAAAGAAATGGGGTTTAATGTACTACTGTTCTGCTCTGACTGGGCTAATGAAGACAGGCATATGCTATACAGTGTGCTATGAGGGACATGTTTTTGAATAAAGGATTCCAGTAACAAGTAACTTTCTATATATTTCAATATTTTGTGCTAACTACTGGTAACTATTTATTTTTTTATCCATGTGGAGAAATTGGAACTGATATACTGTAATTAGTTTTGTTCTTTTCATTTTCAGATTCTAACAATAACCATGCCTGTACAGCCATTAAACTAGGGAAATCTTCAATTTATTTATTTATCATATTTACAATTAAACTTATTTCTTTTATAAACAGACATGTTTTCTTTTGAAAAATTATCAGAAATATCACTGTAAACTATCCCAATAACTCCCAGTTAAGTAGTCGGGTAGAACTCACAAATATTGTTGTAAATCTGTGTGAGTTTGCACCTACAGAGATAACATAATTTCTTAATGATGCATTATGCAAGATTTAGAGAAATAGCTATAATAGTTCAAAAATAGATAATGAAAATGCATATACTGAAAATTTCAGACAAATTACATTATTCTATTCTTTGCGAAATCATTAATGTTTGAGGTTTTGACAAGAAATAGTCACAATTAGCAAATGGAAACAGTTCATATTCTCAATTTTCAAGTACCACTGCCATTATAATTAATGAAGTCTCGATTTTAAGTCCTTTCATCAGCAGTCTCCAGCAATATTAGCATTTAATGCAGATCTGGCATGGATTTCTAATCCACACAGTATCTAAGCCATGATGATCTAGAGAGATGATTATTAAATGTCTAAATAGTAATTTATATAAAATTTGTAGCCAGCAATAGACAAGTTTAGCCCTCACATATTGCCTCTTTAATAAAGTAAACAATTTAATTCTCAAGGGAGATAATAATGCTGCAGAATTATATTATGTTCTCTAACTATTCTGTTCTCTTTAACTTGGTTTAAAGAATACACTGTGGTTTCACTATAAACCAAATACACCTGCATTATTGCAAGTCCGCAATATATCATATAGATAAACAATTTAATTCTCAAGGCAGATGATGCTGCAGTATTATGTTCTCTAACTATTCTGTTCTCTTTAACTTGGTTTAAAGAATACACTGTGGTTTCACTATAAACCAAATATACCCGCGCATTATCGCAAGTCCCCAATATATCATATGGAAGGTTTTCGCTGTAGAGTTGTAGGAAGCCACACTGAAAATGAAATGAAATGATATGGGGTTTAACGTCCTACTTCTTTGCACCAATAGTGCTAATGAATAAAGCTACGTACTAAATGCCCCCTATAGCGAATCATACTACATTAAAGTCACAGTATAAAATAATGCTGCCCATATGTTCCGTCATTGGGAATTGCATCAGAGTCGGTAACCATCTTCATCCTCCTCTTGCAAAATTAACATAGTGTTTATGAGCAATCCTTTTCATTGATCTAGTAATGTTCTTTGCATACTAATCAAAATAATCGATATATTTTCTGACGTTTTAACTTTGTACTTCTATGGAACCTCTGACTGTTATACATCCCAAAACAGGCATATGTTAAATAGTACATGAAAAGCACCAAAATACAATGGATACCTTGGCAAAATCCATGCATTAGTCTCCAACTGTCAGCAAAGTTTGGTAAACAAATTTGGTATGTAACACTGGCTCAGTGAGTAAGACATTGGCACACTAATCTGGAAGTCAGGTGTTTGATCTCTGCGTTGGCCGAGTGGTAAAGGACTGAGGGCCTGGAAAGGGTAAATGTTAAGTCTTTCGGATAGAAGGAATTGGTGTGCACATAAAAGGACAGTTGGAATTCAAAAGACGAGTAGAATGTAGCACCGCTCTTTCCGGGCAAAATATCCCTCATAGCACACTGCATGGCGTATGCCCATCTTTATTAGCCCGGTTGGTACAGAAAATAAGGACGTTAAACTCCATTTCATTTCCTTAAACAAATTAAGAAATAAAACAAAATACTATTTAACTTTTATTTCATTCAAATACAGTATGCAAGTAACAGAACATGGCCACACACGTTATTATCATATTTATAATAGAGAACAATATTACATCACACATTCTGTGGAGAAGAAAATTAAAGCAACACCAAAAATATCTCAATTAAAAAATATGTAAAATAAAATATCATTTTTAAGGACGGTTTCAAAAATCTAAATGATGTAAAAAAAAAAAGGCCCTGTAGGTTGGGCTTTTTTTTCTTCTCCGGTAATGATCAACATACCTTCATTGTTCCAAGTTAACCTGCCATTTTACTGTATGGGTGTTACAATGTATAAACTTCCATTCTTAATAATATCTTCTGATATTTGAATGGACAATTACAACAGTTAAGAGCTCCTAAAATTTAAAGATGTTTCTCAGACACTGGGGCTTTAAAAAATAAAATGGCTTGCAGACTGTTTCCCCTATTGATAATTTATTTATACATTCACCCAAGTAAATACATCTAATAAATGTATTCACAGTATTATAAAATTTTAGATCTGGAGCTGTGAGAAGATTTTGTTTTTATTATTTCTAATTTGTAAATAATATTTTTGGGGGCAGAAAATGAATATTTGGCAGGACAGGGGGCTTATACTACTGTAATGGAATACATATTTCTAATTTTTTTTTAAAACTAAAAAGGTGTGGGCCAGCGGGTATCTGAGAAACTGAATAATTGGTGTAAGGGGGATTAAATTCCATAATAAATATTTATAAATCTTAATTAATTCATATATATATATATATTTAGATACTGTTAGTCTTTTTAAAGATAATGTTCCTTTGATATATTTAATACTTTTTTACATCAGAATTCATATGGAATATTATTGAATTTTATATACTCTGATGAAATTGTCCATATTTGTATAATGGTCAACCAATTACAAGATGATAGTTATATATATATTGTGTATAATTAAAAATCAAAAATAATTAAAGCTACAAATATGCTACATGACATTAGGTGGGTACATAAACATATGAAGTATATAAATTTGAAGATTAAATAGCAAAACATGGACGGTTTAGAATATTATGTAAGTTAATGAAGATGGGGGATGTATTTTACACTGATAAATATGTTTGTTTCATGTCCCAGTTACTAATAATTGTTTATTTTGTATACCCCAAGCCATAAGATAATTCTTTTTTTCATAAGTTTGAAAAATTCCTTTTCAGAAAACAAAAATTAGTTTATTTGAGTGTAAAGTTTCGTTTTAAAATGTGGATATGTGAATGGTGGAATTTTGATTCATTGAAAACAAATTAGTTGATTTTTTGTTGTTGTTGATTTTGTCTAACCTCCCCACCTTTGACTTATTAATATATACATAATAGTTTATAAAAACTAATCTGATTAAAATACAGATCTATATATTTTTTTTTATATATTTTCGATGGCCTCCACTACATGAGGATTTGAGCGATTGTAGTGGGTATCGCGTCAGGTGTCATACGAGTGGCTTTTGACCCTATGATATCAGATGTTTGATTAACGAATCAGCATTGATGATTCAAGTGGGTATTTGGAAATACAACTTTAGCTTTGTCTTCGCTGCAAATGTCTACCCATTTGTTTGGCTAATCCCTCACATCAACAGAATGCTGGTTATAACATCACTTCCAGATCCTAGTGTAGTAAAGACAAGTAAAACGAAATTTTGACCTATAAAAATCGAAATAAAATAGGATCTGTGTTTTAATCAGATTGTCTAAAAACAGGAAACATTAATTTATTGATCCAATTAAACTTGAAATCACTTCTATTCTATTACTACTAAATATCAATTAATTAAATGTGAAAATCAGATTTTTACAAAAATAACAATACTGAACTAAATATGAGGAGATTTGTTGTAATTTATAATATTTTAATCTACATACAAAAATAAAGCTTTCTATTTCATGAAGTTATAAATTACTAACTCACAACTTATAATGCCATCTACAAACTAATTCAAATAATCACAGAATAAATTAATAAATTAAAAGCACTTTAAAATGACCATTATATTAGACATTTCAACCATTCTTGGATAAAGTAGTATTTTGGATGATGGTAAAACAACAAGTATTTATCAGATTCAGTTGAAATAATATTTACACAATTACACAGTTATCAATGAGGAGTGACACTATACAGACCTATGTACATTAAAATCCCCTTTGACACAAATATATATCCAAAACAGAAATTTTAATTTGAATGTATTCAGTAGTGTTTTAAATGAGATCGCCCCACATGTTTATATATTTTTAATAGATAAATAATTATGATGGCCAGTCCAGCTCTAAGAAAATTTCTAGGTGCCTCTGTTTAACTGCTACCCGTAATTAATGAATGAGTGTGTGCTGTCACTAGCAATAACAGAACTAGTACTTGTCTACTGAAAACAGTTATCTCCAAGCACAAAATGTATACACAACATTATCATTCATCAGATCGGGAGTTGGGGGGTGGCCCATATTGAAAAAAAGGCAATAATGCATTGATAAATTATGGTAAGGGCAATGCCTGAACAGGGGCGACTAGAAATAATCTAAAAGCGGATTCAGGTGCTGCAATGATTATCTATCGATTGATAAATAAATATAGAAACTGGTGGACCTTCACCTTTAAAATATCACTTTCCTTATCTGTAAAACTTCTATTAATCTAATGTACATTTTTTGACATATAGTTGAAGAAATTCCATGGAATTTCTAGTTCAAAAAAATATATGTGACAATAAGATCAAAAATAATTGTGAACTATGTGTCTGAATTACTAGTCGAGGAAAGATTCTCACATCTATTCAATCATACAACACACATTATCTAAGTCAAAATTTTCAAAAAAACAATCTATGTTAGTATTATATTAAAATCTGACATTGTCTACTTGTTATATGTATATACGTGTTATTTTAAAATGGAATTATTAACATAGATACAAGATAATTCTCCTAATGTGAAAAACAAAACAACGGAATGTTATCATTGGAACAGTTTATAAAATGTATATTAGATTGGTTTTCACAACCATATAATACAGTATCTAAAAATCAACTACTAATGCAAATAATTCCCTTCAGAATGAGGTGTGTCACTGATAAACATTTATTCACATCCTGTAGACAACTGCAACTCATTATGATGCATAATTGATCATGTAATTGCACCTAACTTCATTAGATCTATTTAAATTTATTGTCGGCCCACATCATGTTGTGGCAGGCTGCACTAATCTAGAGTTTGAAAATGAAATTGATAGAGAAAAATAAGTAAGTAGCTTGGCTTAAAACTAACGATGATGAAATTAAAATAAAAACAAACATAGTGAGACATATATATATTATCTAAATAATATTTCTTCAAGGCCATTATGTCTGCTAAATTTCTTATTTTTGATTCAATATCCATTTTGAATATCAAAACATGCAAATAAGTAGTTGTCGATAAAAAGTCACTTCTCACATGTGAATACTGTTTGTTATAATGTGACTCGTATATAGTATATATCATCCAATGAAAGACTTCTGTCAAAGTGAGTGATATAACAAGTGTACTTCTTTCAATGGCATTCCATCATTTTTAGTGTACAAGGTGCATAAACTATCCATACTAAAATCAGATAGCCATCTTTATAGTAGGCAGGAGTTGATTATGATCATTTTGAAAAAAAAAACCAACAAAAAAAAACAATCAATATCTCCAGTATTATTCACATGCCAACTTGCCATCAAAACTACTGAGAGCTATACCGAAAGCTTGTAAAGCACACAGTGGATAATTAAAGTCCATTGTAAACACATCCTCAGCTACACGACCAAACTGCATGACAATATAATCCACTGAAAAAAAGAAATTATGATTAAATTGTGAATGGAAGTCGAACAGCAAATCGGAACCTAATCCAATAAACATCGCAGGCTAGCGATGCCACCGAGAGTTGAGTATGGTCTGGATAAGTTAATTAATGTCTAATTAATAATTTAGATAACTCCACTATATACAGCGGTGTACCAAACTCCAATCAAATATCTGAAGTTTTAACCTAAAACAATTCTGGAAAACACATAGTTCAGTAAAAAAAAAAAAATGAAATCCCAGGAAATGCAAACCTGATCTGCAGCTCTTGCTATATATGATAATGTGCCAAATTTAAATGAAATACCACAAAGTTTAACCTAAAATATTTTGAAAATCGAATTTTTACTAATTATAGGTCAACAAAGGGCCATAATTCAGTCAAATATTAACGGAATCCTACAAAACCTGAATTGGATCTGTAGCTTTGCCAAATACAGCAGAGTACCGGATTCCAATTGAATATCTCAAAGTTTATTTTAAAATTCTGGAAAAACAAACTCTGTAGTCATTTTAAATTAATAATAATTAAACATCACTTACCATCATTATCATGAACAATTTGAAAATTCTTAACTGATGCTTGAGTAACACGACCATGAAAATTGAGCACATATGACTGCGTTTCTGAAAGGAAAAAAACACAATAAATCAATAGAGTAATCTTCTATTGTCAATAATGTCAATCATTATAAGAGGATGAATGTAGTGATTGGAAGATTTTCCTTAATGAAAATAGTTTTGCAAGGTATATCTTTCTGGGTCAAATGCATTAGACAGTATTCAAAACAATATCCAATAGTATACTTCAATATTAATATGTGTCAAATGAAATAAATTAATAAGAAAATCTTACCATCATTCCATACAGGTGTTTTATTATGAAGTTCCAGCAGATTTTCCATATTTTTTCTCTTCCATTTTTCAATTAGACCATCATGATCCTGCGATTATAAATACAAACTTTGGATTAGAAAATTCAGATCCCTTTAAACTAACTAGCAAGTTTATTCATTTTTCTGAATACCTTTATTCGATAAATAACATATAATATTATTTTTCCAGACCAGCCAAATTTGCAAGACTTGGGGAGCATCCACATCTGAAGTGCTGGCTAAATAATATGTAAATTGAGTATAAGCAACTTACCCCACGTGGTTTTATTTCTACTCGTTCATGGTCGAGATTCATACCGGGTATAACAACTGTCATTTTACGCGGTCCTTTAAATCCTAACACATTTGTTTCCTTGAAAAACAATAAATATAGTATATATATAAAATATATTTGTAATCATCATGTCATATTCTGTGAAACTATTACAGAAAAGTGAAATGGGGATTACATTCATTCAACAAAATTTGGTCATTTCTGTATGATCAGGTGGCAAATATTTATAATACAAGTGAGAGAAAAAAAGAGTTAGGCAGGCGACCATAACCCTGAAAAACATATTTTCCATTGAAACTGTAGGACACTCGGTCTCCCAATATTCTTTAAAAATTTATAATCATGTCAAACATTCCATTCTATCAAAGGAAGAAGAAATTAATTAAAGGCATACTGTTATTTAAATATCAAATTTATACTTACATATGCTACGGCTACCAGTTCTTGTCTAGAAGATGTTATGCCTTTTTTAGGATTCTGACCATTATCATACAGTGTAAAATGTGTACCCAATAAATTTGACCTAAAAATAAATTAATATTTCCCATGATTATCTAGAAATCTTGAAATAAAATGAAGAAAAATACTAAAGAAAGTAATATAACCTATATAGAATATATAAAGATAATTACATTGTATATTGAACTCTTTTAACATAGAAATCAATATAATCAATGGTTAATCTATCAACTAGTACTATATGTACCTCTATCTATTCAATTATACATAAAATATACATAAACAATTGGATTTAAAGTGGCACATTAATTTAATAAATTATGATGGTTTAAACCTAGATCTACTTCACTGATTTAAGCAGTCTTATTGAAAGTAACAAAGTTAACTATGATGACCTAAACCAAGGCTTAGTTCGCTGATTTAGAGAAAAATTAACCAGTACTGTAATATACCCTAAATAAAATTATCTGTATATTTCGGTCATACCAATCACCAAAAAAAGCACTTTTGGTCAACAACGTCCAAAGTATTATAAAAAGTGACTGACAAGGAAAGATATGTTATATGCACATTCTACACATCATAATATATCCAAATTTAAAAAGAGTTCATAAAAAAACTGAAAAATTATTGGTAAGTGAAATTGACAAATAAAAAAAGCTCTTGTCGTTTCTTGCTGATGATTCGTAAAATCGCTTAAGTCAAATTTTCAATTATTAATAACTTTTTTGTGATATCGTTTAAATTTTAGATATGTGTACAATATAATATACATATCTATATAACATATATTTCCTTGTTGGTCACTTTGGATGCTAAAGACCCCAAAAATGCTCTTGTCAGTGATTAGTAAAAAAATAAGACATGTTTTTATCCTCTAAATTCAAGGTGATTTTTGTTTTTAAAAATAAGTGACTGTCCTCTTTAACGTGATGCATTACATCCTTTTTATTATGTCAATTGATGCAAGCATCCTGAGATAACAAAAATAATATTATTCAGTATAATTAGAAATAAAATCAATTCATTGGTCTATTTATTTTTTGAGGAATCTCTATACATACCGTAATTTGCCAATAAAGGCATCTCCATTTCTGGATAAATCTGTGGGATCTGTAGATAAAAGGTAGTTTGATGTCGTACTTCTCTTCCTCTTTCTTCCAGCCAATAAAAAGGCCTGTTACAAAATAAAAATAAATGATTTGTTTAAAAATATTCTTAAGATAATAAAACGTAACAACTGCATTCAAATGTAGCTCAAGTTTTAAAGTGGCATTAGTGCTTTTTCAATGTGATCTGATTTACCATAACAGAAAATTGATATCAGGCATTAGATATTTTCAATGTCTAGACAGTGATATCAGGCACTGTATTTAATAGTGATGTAGATTTTAATGAATGCATCCGAAAAATACTTTATTCTAAATAGGCTGGTGTATGGATTTTTTAAGTAAGACAATCCTAGGTTTATTTTGAAAATCTTCGAATAGAATAATTACTTTATTTTGTGGGAGTGATATTGCATCTTTAAGTTTATTTTCAAATCAGACACTACAAATTGTTTTGTTGTTTTAAAAACTCACTCTATAATATAATTACTTTTCATCATATATTTTCTATTTACCTTTTTGCCATCTTCCCGTTCTAAGTGTAAGAAATAGGTAGGGAATATTCCTCTATCTACACCTTTTTTATCTCTCGTTATTCGACATTTCATAGTAACACCTTGTGGAGCTGGTCTCAATACAAATTCTTCTAAATTCTCCCCTGGATCAGGTGTATAGGTACGTGGTCCTACAGCGCCACCTTTTTCATCGTAATTATCTAACTGCTATGAAATAAACATAAAATTATACAATTGTTAAAATAATATTCAAGGTGGCTAATCTACCAGAAGAAGAGTATCTGTCAACCTAAACATTGTGAATTGAAATTGATGCAGTCATTGCAGTCATACCATTACATTAGTCTATAAACAAAGTAGTAATACACTAATTTAACAATCAGATAATTACACCATTGCTATGTTATCAACAACATTGATTTGCCTATCACCTAATTAATCATCAATGATGAAATGTGTTAAATTTGATGACTAGTATAATTTAATTGTTGAATTACGCATTCTTCATTTGGTAATGGCACATTTAACACATTAATTTTTTGGTCACATTAATATGTCTAAAACGAAGATGGACATGGTAAATATGTGATCGTCTTACCTCATTAGAATTATAACCTGTCATATTTGTTGATTGTGTGTTACGTAGAGGATTAGGTGAACGAGGGGGTTGTGGAGCTATAGGAAAACTTTCTATATCTACATCATCATCATCTGTATTACTTATAACAGTTGATGATGTACCAGCAGATATTGTCTGTGAATGACTTCCAGGACGACTTCTGTTATTCTGACTCATTACACCATCTCCTGTAAATACAGAATAATAATCTTAAATATAGCTATCTAAATTATTCTATTCATCAGTCTGAACTACTTCTAAGATTTTGAAAGATAAAAAGATAGTCACTAGAGAAGCAGTATTTTATATTTCTTTAATTTAGAAATAGCAAAAACACTGTTTTATTAAATAGAAGTTTAAAATTGACAATTTCATAGCTATTCAGATTAATTTTTGGTTGGTGATGCCTCTTCACTATCAACACATTTAGAATGACAATCTTTGTCAATGAAGCCTCTTCCCTATCAACACATTAAACAGACATTATGTAAAGAGCTAAATCTTTGGGCCTTAAATGTTACATAAATCTAATTTTAAAATATATAACATAGCAAGAACAGTCAGCTCTTTATCTAAAGCTTACATAATGCCCCTTTAATAGTAAGTGCAGGTGGACTGCACCACACATAATTTACACAAAAACAAATCTATGGATAAGACACAATACGCAGAAATCACATACAAACCAACATATTAAATTAAGTGAATGGATCCGGGGCTAGCCGTGAGCGTCCACTGCTCTGTACAGTCCCGTTCCTGTAGTGATACAGACTTCACTCAAAATTGAAAACAAACAATCAGGAATATAACCCAGAGAAAACCACTGCGTAATACCAGCATGGGTCATGATCTGCTATATGTCACATGAAATATGAATATAGGCATATTGAAGTAAAAATGACCTATACAAGTAACCATATCGGTGAAATGTATAAGAAACCAGGTAGTCTAAAACTAAAAGTTCTATGTTAAGTGAGAAACATTTTAAGTATTCAATAGAATTGAGGTATATTGACTATAAAGTTATGGTATATTTTCCATTTACCAAAAAAACAGAACTATACTGAATACAAAGAAGCAGACTGTGAAAATGTACACCGTCTTGAAATACAGTCGTCTGTTGACTGAATGACATGATGTAGGTTGCCAAATGACGTCAAGTTTGAAATGTAATAAAAACCACGATAAAAAGGGCGATAATCCAGATAAGATAACACCAAAAGGTTAATAAACTATCGATTTAGGAACTAATCGGAATTATTCAGCTATGTAATTGCACAAAATATAATTCATAATACACCTACAAGAAATGCAAAACAGGTATGCTGAAGAAATCGTACTATGAAAGTGTATTTATATAAAGGCATAAAATAAGGGTGATAATCCTATACTTATATAAGAAATGTAAAACTTGGTACGTTAAAGAAATGGAAGTTTCGAAATTTCTTTAAAAATGCGTAATTGTGTACCGCAGTTGGCAGTGCACTTAAAGCGAAGAGATTTTATTCTAGAAAAAAATAGTTCTCTATCGTTACATAAAGAATGAATACTTCTCAATTTTACACATAATCTGACTGATGGTTTATTTTTGAACATCTATACAAATTATATGGTAGTGTATTGTGTATGTTCGAATAGTATTTACATGTACCCAATCTTACAACCAATGAAATAACCCAATCATTATTTATATTGAAAACATCAAACAGGCATTAAACAAACTGACCAGACATTTTAATCAATATTCTGTCATAAAATATGTAAAAGAAGAAGAAAAAAACTCTCATTAAACTGTAACAAGTAGAAAGAGTTTGATGATTATTGATTTTTGAAAAGACTGAAAAATGATGGCAATCAAATTGCAGTGTTTAAGATTGTGAAATGATAAGGAACAGACATGGTAAATAAATGAGGATTAGAAGTAGAAGAGAAGCTATAATAATTCAACTTGCTATCCAACAGTTTCCTGGCTTCAAAAATCAATTTTTCTGACCTTTCCAAAACATTTTGTAAAGCATTAAATGAAAAAAATATCTAAGTTAATTCAGAGTTGAATTCTATCTAAATCAAGAATAATTTCTGTTCAAAGGAAGCTGCTTTCAATTGTTTAATATAGCAAAATAAAAACTGTCTTGTAAATGTGAAATGAAATGTTTGTGTTATACCAAATTTTATATGGGTAAACATAGGTTGCAAGGCAATAGGTTGGTGTGAAATAGTGTGTACAACATGTCATGTTTTGATGTTCTTTATCCTTGCACAGTATATGAAGGCCAAAACTATTATATTGTTGAGATAAATGTGTGTGTGGGGGGGGGGGGGATCCATTTGTTCTTTATTAGCTACATTTTAAGTAGGATAATATTAAGGAAACAACTGAATAAGAGGTTGTTCATCAGATTATATTGAGTCTTTTCACATTAAACCATCTCAGTAATGTCAGTATAAAAATCACCATGACAATCTTACTCAACGTCAACATCATAAATTTACTTTCAAACATATCATATGAAGCCATTAAGCTATATATATAAAATAAGAACTTACAAGGTTTAGATCATGTCAAATGAAAGTTTATAAAACACAATAAACCATTTAATAGCCACAGTATTTAACCCATTGACTGACTAGTCCCTCAATGTTTCAAAACCTCTACACTGGGTTCCTGGCATTAAGACGTCTGACATTTGGACATAAACAGGCAAACACCGTATAACATACAGTATCAGAAACATATCTAATGAATCTAAATTTGAAAGAAAAATAACTATTCAAATAAAATATGCATTTTCTCGTCACAACGGGCACTACTGCAATGACAAAAGCATTAATAAGGGTACACTAGAACGTGTATGCTTAATTCTTAATAATTTTGTTTGTTTTATTTTTAACATCTTTTATGATCCAAATTTGCAGGGAGAGGCACATTAGTGGTATTCAAAGCATTAATAAGAATTGGGGTGTAGCTCTTACCAGTACTATAAATGAGATTGTTATTTACCCTTATAGTAGTTTCAAGTAGAGTCTGACTACATGTTGCATATATTCAAGACAACTATTTTGCAACCCCAATTTGGTGAACCCATAGAGAAGTGTTGTGTTTATGGAATGATTGCTAAATCCCTATTGTCAGAAATGGCAGTATTTTCAAGATCATTATTGGTTAGTTTTTATCAATATTTATCAGTCTACAGAAAGAGACTTCATAAACTATGTGAATTGTGTTTGTTGTAGTACTATTCTGTGCAGAGTTTGAACATAGTAGGTGTTATGTCCATTAAGTCAAGTGACCAGCTGAACATTTTCAATTGCACAAGTGAATAATGAGAGGATAAAATGTGTACCTGTGTCCATAGTAGGTATATCATCACTATCTGATCCACTGGATATATTATCTCGAGATTCATCTTCTGTTACATTTAATATTTCGACTTTAGTTGATAAATTGGTCTCATTTTTATCTTCGTGTACCCCAGGATTATCATAGGCTGAAAATATTATATAATATTAACATACAATCTATACCAAAACATTGTTAAATAATATGATAGAAATTACAGGAAAGAAATAAAATGTGGTACAATACCCAGTTGATTCTAACCAGGTCATTATCAGACTAATGCTCACTCCTGGGAGATAGGATTGAGGGACCATTTCATGGTCAGATTTTTAACAACTCTCCTGTATATTATAATTGCAATCATAACACATTATATTGCAATCATAACACATTATATTGCAATCATAACACATGATAGCCCTTGTATATATATATACAAGGGCTATCATGTGTTATGATTGCAATATTTTGCATGATCAGATTAGATTTTCAGTCATCTTTGAATTATTAAGATAGCAATTGTGTCAATTACATGGTGATTGCAATTATGTCAATTACATGTAGGAAATTTACATTGGAGCCATTATGAGCCAAAGTCACATCTTCAATTTTTATTTTGATTTGTTTAAAAAGTTCACACAGGGACACATAACTGCTTGCTTCTGAACATTGTTTTGATCTATGGACGTAAATATTACATGTTGCCTACCAATTAAATCAAGATATAAAATTCAATGAAACTGACAATATTATTTTTGATCCAGATCAACAGAAGCAAGGACCTTAATGCAAAAATAACTCATACTAGTCATACTCACCAAAACTTTGTGGAGCAGTTGATTTTATTCTACTGTCTTTGACTAGTGGACGAGCATCATCTCGGTTCTTTCTACCCGAGGATGGACGGACATCAGGGTTAGGTTGCATCATTCCAGAAGATTGTCGTTTCTTTCGATTGGCTTGCTCAATGAGATTGAGCTGTAAATTTAATAAAATGGTGTTAATTATGATATTTTAAGATAATTTTTATATTTACTTACAGATAGAATTATCAATAGTATCATTACAGTTTTAACACAAATAATCCATGAAAATAGTGAAAAACAGAAAGTATGATGTGAATCAATTTACAGGTAAAAGTTGTACAAACTATAATGTTGTTTCTTTCTTAAATATATTTTGCAACCATCATAAGTGTCAAATATTTCATTTAAAGAAATGTAAATTAAAAAATGAATCATCAAAAATTGGTGTGATTGTAGATTAAAACTGGAAATAAAAAGGGTTTTTGGGTTGTATGTACCTGATTAGCCCTTTTCTTTGATGCATAATCATCATCTAAACTGTAAAATAAATTCAACATTAAAATCTATACATACAAAGAAATATGTTAATTTTCATATGACAACATATAGTCAGATATTCCATTTGAGTGTAATCATGAATAATCAATCAAATTCATAAAGAATTGCTTAATAAATATCAGAAATCTTTCCAGACCTTCCATTTGAAATATGAACATTCAATCAGATTATTTAATTAGAAAATGTCTTTCAACAGACTCATTGATTCATATTCTATTCGAAATATAGAAAAAATTAAAGTCTATGATCGTCATTTGAAGGATATCTTTCAAACTACAGTATTAACAAATTTGAATAATTAAAGGGATTATTGTTTCTATTCATTATTTACAAAAATTAAAATATTTGTCAACAATCTGCATCCTCTGCAGATGACATAAACTGGATATGGTTATCTTGGCTGAATCCAAGCTAGAAGATTATCTACACTGTCGATATTTTGATTCAAGGTTTTCTATATCAAATGTTAAATAATCAATTTGGGTACATTTTAGTGCGGATTAAGCCAAGAAAAATTAGATAACATTCTGAGAAATATAAATTATGACAATTAGCGACTTTAATAATCAAATGTAGCATGAATTAATCCATGACAAATTAGATATCATCGAGATATGTAAATGACAATTAGCCACTTTAGTAAGGTATTGTTATTATTAGTCTCATTTTTGTTTAACTGTAGATACAGCTGTTGAGACACTAATAATCAAATAAAAATCATGCTATTATGATGACTACAATTTGTCAGAATTAATACCATTAATCAATAATTTATATCACAGATTCATTAATACTATGATATTTAACATTACTACTTTAATACAAGTAAATATATTACTATAGTATTATTGGCACAATCCATGTTTATCAAGCTATTACAACCATCACTAAGATTTATTCATCATTAAACTGGGAATAGAGCAGGGATGGCAACACTCCCTTAAAAGAGTAGCAGCGGTTGGACAGGTTGGTAGTTCTTAAATGGTACTTTTACAGTAGTCCTTTGGTAAAGGGTGTTTTAACCCGAAATGTTATGAAGATGAATAAACCACCTCTCATTTAACCTAGTCTGTTTTTATACTGCTGTTGTGTGGGGATTTTTAAATATCTCACATCATTAAACAATATAATAATAAACATACCTTCCTGGTGGTCCACCACTCATCTTGACTGGCTTCGGAGAACTGAAAATAACAAGAAGCTCTAAATGATAGACATATAGGACACTTCAAAATAAGTAGTCGACTTCAAAATCAAGAAATCTTAAAACCTCTTCAGAACAACACATTTAGCATGGCATCGTTTAACTTCAAGATTACAGTACCAGAATTACATACTCCTTGAACGATGTCTAGAATTCCAAACCCTATCTTTGAAAATATCTAATTCGAAGACTTCTTGTTTTGGATAATCTTCTGTTATTGTCAGAGATTAATGACTTCACACTTAAATAATTTCTTGCTATCTAATGGGAAGTAAGCCTTGTACCTAGATATTTAGAACTTTACATCAGCTACATTTAATTTATGTGTTCAATATATATAGCTTGTTTTGGGACCAATCAATATCTAATCTGCACAATGATACAAGTTTTACAAAAGTCATCTTATTTACATGGCTTCAGAACCCTACATAATTTTTAAAATTTACACAATAATCGGTTCAATTTTCCACAAAAAATCTATGGTGAACCGGTGATCAGCAATGTGGTTTTAAGCAGAAAATACTTTTAAGATATTTCTCCAAGGTCACATAAACTCCTTGAACGATGTCTAGAATTCCAAACCCTATCTTTGAAGATATCTAATTCGAAGACTTCTTGTTTTGGATAATCTTCTGTTATTGTCAGAGATTAATGACTTCACACTTAAATAATTTCTTGCTATCTAATGGGAAGTAAGCCTTGTACCTAGATATTTAGAACTTTACATCAGCTACATTTAATTTATGTGTTCAATATATATAGCTTGTTTTGGGACCAATCAATATCTAATCTGCACAATGATACAAGTTTTACAAAAGTCATCTTATTTACATGGCTTCAGAACCCTACATAATTTTTAAAATTTACACAATAATCGGTTCAATTTTCCACAAAAAATCTATGGTGAACCGGTGATCAGCAATGTGGTTTTAAGCAGAAAATACTTTTAAGATATTTCTCCAAGGTCACATAAACTAAGCCAATAGACAGATCATCCCAAACTGATGAGTAGGGATGACATAGGGGCGAGTTAATTAGCCATCGATATTAACAGTGTTTGAAATACCGTATGTCTATCTGTAAACATAGTTCTAACTAATGAACCAGAAAAGCAAAATCTTAGAAGTGGTCTATTTAGCTTGGTATTTATAGGGTGATTCTACTATGTCATCAGCAAATAGCTTGCTAAGCATGTAGTATAAAGTGGGAAAAAAGACACTGTTTTTTTATTTATTTAAACTATTCACTTGTTATTATTTTAGAACTATCTTTGGAATCACAATTATAAAGTAGATATATTCTTCAATAAATAGTATCTTGATTAATGTTCTAATTGTTAATATAATAGGCAAGTCTTCCTGGTTTATTAAAGGATAAGTTTTTTGAATAAAGTGGTAGACAATCTTTGTCTATTTATCCACAAAGGAATATAAGATTTAAAACTTTGTTTTACAGAATGAATTTTAAATCTATATTATTATGAAATTCAGGTTAACTGCGTGTGTGTGTGTGTGAAATAGCCTTATTTAGAGTGATATCGCAGACATGTTACCCTGTTTCTATTTATATAATATTAATCACCATCATCATAGGTTTAATCTGAAAGATAAATACGATTAAGGAAATCCTACCTGATGTTGTCATACATAGTTAAAACAAACACAGCAGCTAACATAAAATCAACTCATACACGGTCCACACACAAATTCTCCTAATCAATACTAAATTTCACAATCCGTATCCTCACCCTATCTCAGTGTGGGTTAAAAAACATATATGGTTGACTACTACTATCTGTTCTCACTTTTTATATAATTCAACTTTCCAGGCTTCAAGTTTAATTACTAACAAAAATACCATGGCAACATCCAATTAATGTATAATCCTCATAATGAAAAATCAAACTTGACCAGATCCCCCTAATCTTCTACTAAGTACTACCCAGTATGGATATAATGTAATTAACAAAACCTGCTATTGTATTTTATCTAATTAATCAGGATAGTGACAACAATTAACTAATTTAATGAAAACTGTAATGAAAGCAGCTTGACATTTGTCAGTTGATTTCCTTGTGAGTGACAGACAATTTATTCATTACCATGTTTGAAGATGATCTTGCACAAATTTATTTTCATAATTTGACAATAAATTTTAAAAAATCAATGATTATTATTAATGGATTTATCTCCCTATTTACCCTTGAACATGTAAACCAGATACAGGTCAGTCAGCTATAGGAAATGTTCAATTTTTTTGCACCAACTGGTCTATTGATGAATGGTACTGATATGTACGTATGCATGCTGTGTACATAGGAAAGTTTCTCAGCCAACACTTAGATCGAACCCAGGACCTTCTGCTTAGTAAGCCAGTGCCTTCCACAATGAACCACTTAAAGAGCAATTGCTGGATTGGGCCATCAAGGAGAACTCATCAAAATTCAAAATTTTTCCATCAGAGACTCCAGTCAACTCCTTTTGATTTTTAAATACTTGTAAATAGAATGTTGTACACAATTTTCAAGTAGGGGTGGAGGGTGGTGGTAGGCTGTTCATTGGGATTCACGACATTGGAACTTTTCATGGAAATTTTTAAAATTGGTTTATAATTAAAGGCTTTAAAAATTGCTACTGGTGGACATGGAAGCTTGTACCCCGTGACTTTATTGATAATACCTCGACTGAGTTCAATATTGAGATTAGCCGGTTGATTTGTTGGATATAAACCTTTGAATAATAGCGCCTAACAGGCGGCTGTGTTTAATTATGTTCTCCTGATTTTGATTGTTTCTGTGTGTTTGAAGTATATGTTTGTGATATGCGCTTAGAAACACTTCACGTGTAATGAAGCGCTATATAAATCGAACAATAATAATAATAATAAATGAAGCTCAAACATTCCACAAAGGTACTACATACAAATTAGAATGTTTCATTCAAATCATGTTATCAGTTATTTTTATATAGATTATAGCAGGTATCATGTCTTTATATATCTACCCTTTCATTTAAAAAATAAATTCTAAGTAGAAATCATATTGGTATATCAGGCTTAAAGACCCATTATGTACAGTCATGCAAAAAGTGAAGGAAATTTAATTTAGGTTCCAAAGCATTAACTACATGTGCTGTAAATATGTGTTGTAAATATATACAGGAAGGCCTTAATAAACAGAAGTCAAATATTTCCGGATGACAAAAAAACAATCTTTTGTAGGATAGATAAACACCGCTATATGAATTGAACATGGTATGAAGCTCACAAAAATACATTAACTAAGCTCATATAATATTGATATTCGACAACGCATACAATAGCTAACCTTCAACAGCACAAGTATTTATACAGACAATAACAGGTCAATGCACATGACTCAACAATGAGCACATCACAAGATTTAATGACTTAACTATATGTAACTGATCATATGTTTATATAAGCTTATTCATTAAAGTTATACGTTATTCTGGATAAATATCCCACACATAATACATTTCATATTGACCACAAAAAACATGTATTATAATTTTACAGTCTACTCAAGTCGTAAATCACTATTTGATGTTATAATGAAAAAGAGAATACAACTCATAAACATCATAAAATAAATAAAAATATTTTATGCTGTTTATAACAAAGCTCACGAAAGACATAAATCTTAGAGGTAGAAGTAATTCACTGAATTTGTTAAAATTTGATAGGTTTCTTCCCTTACAATAAACATTTTAAAAGTAACAATGCATTTCAACCTTTTTTAAGTTTCTAAACAGTGGGCAAGGACAATAACTCTTGCTGTAATAAACAGAAATTAATGAAATTCTATAGGCTTCCATGTCATATCCAAATAATGCATGCAAATTTTAAACAGATCAGGCAACTGTTGTGATTAGCTCAAGTGCAATAACTCTGAAAATATTTATCAGAGTAGGTTTCACTAATGGAATTTATCACTAATGTAAATTATCAATCTCAAAAAGTTTTGTTGATAGATGTAGAGTGTTCCCAAGATACTGTGAATGATGGAAGGACAGGCAGCGGTAATGTCAATTTACCACCACAGTTCCGACCTCTGACCAGCAGAGTATCTACATGGTTTCAGCAGCAAAATTAACTGTTCTGTGAAATATCTTTATTGGACTGAAGTTAGATAGGAATCCTACTTACAACTAGCCAGATAATTTCACAATTACAGATATAATATAAATCAACAGATAAACCGACACAGGTTTTAGGAATACACTGCCAAATGCTATGTGGGCATAAAGTGTACTGGCAATTCTCAACCCTTTTTTGTTTCATTTTACCAAATACTTAAAGCTACTAATAGGTTTCCATGAGACAGGTATTGTTATTATTTATAATGGTGATTAATTTCTGTTTTTCTTTTAATTCTTTCTTTTACTCATAATTTATTTTGTTGTTCATTATACAGTACGTGTGCTTTAATAATGTTATCTTTGTTTTTTATTCTCTTGATCCTTATTAAACCTCAAGCTAATTAGTTTCAGTCTGACAGAAAGCTTAATCATCAACATTCTTTAAGTTTAATATTCTAATCTTTATTTGTTAATTATTTTATTCTTTTATTCCATTTGACATAAATCATTGACATATCAATATCATTCAGCATGCTGACTGACTGTAAATAACAACAGCAACAATCATTCAGAATTTTAGGTATCATACAAATTCCAGGATAGATACTCTGCTAGTCGAACCTGTTGTTCTGCTATGACATCTATTCTAATGCCTTTTGTAACTGGATAGAGCAATAAACAATATCTATTCTGATGTTTTCCAGTAAAAAGGCTAATTGCAGCATGCATTTATTACAGAAAATCCTCACTTCTGCAGTATGGTGGAATGCATTGTGAGAAAAATTCTTTAAACCTCTTGTAACAACCTAACGACAAGATAAATCTAATATGGAACAGATAATCATCTCTGATGAACTGAATGAATTATTAAAAGTAATGAAGATCATAAGCTCAAAGGTCAACCTGTGGAGGATAGACCATGAAATTATTAACACGTCCATTGTTCTGATATGGTGCAGCTTTCAGCATAATTCAAATAGCACAAAAAGAAAATTTACTAACTAAAAACCTTAATAGATTTGGTAATACAGGATGTTTTAGTTGCTGCAAGGCCTCAAATTGCAGCAACTGAGACAGTGTTAAAAGACATATTAACCTAGAACAACTTCTACATTATAAGTGTATTATATTATCATGTTATTACTGTAATATCATCTAAAAGCTTGATGGTACATTCCAATATTATATTGATTTAATAGCCACATAAACTACAGGTACTCAATGTATTGAATGTCAAATCAGAAAATCACCAGGTAATAAAAATCAATAATCAAGTACTACATTTATGTACTTTCTTTTTTATATTTTGATATGATAATGGCAACTCGTCTTCCTATAATCCTTCTATTCAACAGTATGGAAGTTATTTTAAAGGATATTTGGGTAAAGACCTCTGACTAAGAGGATTTAAAAAAAAAAATTACAACAGCAGAATAATGTTATCTAAATGATGTAGGGATGTCTTTCTATCTATATATTCAAATTCAAACTTTCATGGAATCTTTTACATGTATTGCTATGCATTCACAGAACTTTAGTATCTGTAATCTGTGGCATATTTTCTGTCAGAAGTCAAAATTGTTTTCGTTTTTTTTAAAGAGACAATCATAGCAAAATACTTTGGGGGTATCAAACACAAGAAAATCTGTATCGGCAATCAGGTAAACACTAAGTTGCTTAATATTTCAACAAGATGAAATGTCCTAGTGAAACTCAAAGGTCTAATTACCTATGGCAAGTGAGAATTAGGTATGATTCAAAACCCAGGTTATTCTCTAATGGTAGTTGTTACATCATATTATTGTAAATGGACTAAAACGCCGTCAGTCCAAGATTTTCGCGGACAACATAAATAAAAGTCGGTTAATGCAAATCAAATGTCGAAATGTGATAGCCTTCAAATTAAAACACCGAACCCCTCAGACACCATCACTAGATTTGCTTGACAGATTCATGTATCTCAATTAAGGTATTTTATTGTTCAGTTGTATCAATGAATTGATAATCATGACAATTAGTTACCACCACTATAACCTCAGGAAGAATAGATAGACATTGTTATTCAGGAACCAATAGTTTGGGATTTGGAGTGTTACAGCAACCTCATGGAAACTGAAAGTTTCCATTTCTTAAAAAGATAGGTTGCCAGGCAACGAAACATATGCCCACAGCATCTCAATCGTCCGGGCGGTCGACAAGAGATGTTGCTTATTATTCCTTTGTAGGTAATTGGGGGCCTTTACAAGACAGTTCAATACAGATCAGATTATAATTTTTGTCGTTTGAGGGTTCACAAGGTTCTACAAACTGAAATAAGGGCCTCAAAGCAACCAGTGATGGGATTTCAAAATTTTTCTTGTCGGACATTTTTACCGAAAATAAATGGACATAACTCTTATCGTTATTTAAGATGGCAGTTTTTAGACCACACACAAAAATCATGTGTAAACAAAATATTCAAATTCGTCCGTAATAAAAAAATTGGTGCACCTCGTTATTTTTCATATTTAATTCCCGTACGGTATTCAAATTTGTCAGTAATATTCCTACAAAATTCGTAATACGATAGAATGAAAGCGTGCCGACTCCTGCCAATCTGTACTGTTTCAAATTCCTCCAAAATTACCGTATTTTCGGGTCATAAGTCGCTACATTTTTCAGCAGAAGTCCGGCATTCGTCTTATACTCTGTTACGACTTATGTACAGAGGGTAAGAATATGATATAGCACGCGCTATCATCTAAAACAATTACACTATTCCAATCGAAATATCCGTCAACATTGCCTAGATTACTTATTTCTTTATTTAAAAACATAAACTCCATATAAAATATGATCATAAATCCGAGAATATGCCATCAAAATAGAATCTTTTCTTTGACATTAGAAGCTAGTATTTTGTCACGTATTCATTTCATAATTTCACGCGTCTCGCAAGATTTCTAATACTGGTTCAGTTATCGTACTTCAACCGCCTGAAGCTGTTTTTCTTTCAAGTATAATCAGATTTTCTTCAAACAAGGACAACTTTGCTCTGAAAATTCTAAACACGCTTTGAACAACGAAATTTTGATAACTTCTTTCTAAACCCGGCAAGTTCGTAGGTACATATCACTTACCGTCATACAGCCAAAGCTAGATGTAGAGGAACGGAATCTGCCGAGGTTTACCGAGTGCTGTAACCGCGTGCTAGCAATGTCTAGTATTTTTCGGATATGTGTGTGTGTGAAATAGCTTTATTTAACGCTCACTTCCACCGAAGTGATATCGCAGACGAATTATAATGACTGTCTATTTATCTGGGCGTTATATACTCTTACAATATGTGACTTCTATCTATGACTAGTTTATACCTATTGTCGGCTCTCATCAATGTGATTAAGGTTAACACGAAGATTAAAATTATAATGGATTGATGAATAGTCCAACAAAGGGGAAACAATGGCTTCTGTTTAAGATCAGATTGATGAATTGTCCGACAAAGGATTAAGTCAGTCAATCAAGGCAGATTAAGTAGTTAATCAAGGTAGGTTTATAGATAAATACGTTGATCACTTAATTACCTAATCAATCCAGCGTATTATCGACGATAATCTGGTTGAGTGGTAGTTATATACTTAATAAACTATATTAATTTCGGAATTTTGAATATTATTCACCTTGTCTTGATGTCCGATTGGGCATATTCCCGGTCGGACAATTTGGGGCATTTGAAAAAAGATTCAGACAAGTACGGAATATACGGGCAAAATCCCATCACTGGCCTCAACTCTGGAAGTAGTCTACAGAAATTGTTGAAATTTGACAGGCTTTTTCGTTTTACTAATTTAAATAATGCATATAAATTTCATATAGATCGGATGATCACTTTTGTCAGTCAAACATTCACAAGGTTCACAAAGTAAAACAAGGGCCATAACTCTAGAAATTATTGACGGAAATTCAATCGGATAATTCTTTTTACTAACTTACATGGCACATATAAATTTCATACAGATCGGCAGATAACTTTAGAGGTTAAAGCGTTCACAAAGTGCAACAAGGACCATAACTCTAGAAGTAATAAACGGAAATTGCTGAAATTCAATAGAGAGAGAGCGAGAGAAATGGGGTTTAACGTCCACTCGACACAAACTAGGTCATTTCGGGACTAACATATGGTTTAATTTTATTTCAATAATTCGCTTGTGCGTAGGGGTCTTTAGCAGTGGGAGGAAACCAGAGGACCTGGAGAAAACCCACGAGGTTGGACAGGCGACCCTACTCCTTGTCACATACAACTGGGGATTTGAAACCACTCCAGTTGACTCAATGACAGGCCTTATGATACATCCGACCTCCCCCCCCCCTGAAATTCAATAGGATCCTTCTCTTTATTAATTTAAATGACGCATGTAAATTTCATACAGATCGGCAGATAACGTTCGATGTTAGAGTTTTCCCAATGTGCAACAAAGTGAAAAAGGAACATAACAAGGAACATAACTCTAGATAGAAGTAATTGACGGATATTGTTAAAATTTAATAGGCTTCTTCGTTTCACTAATTTAAATCATGCATATAAATTTCCCTAAGATCGGGTGATAACTTTTGGCGTTGAAACGTTCACAAGGTTCAATAAAGTGAAACAGGGCCATAAGTCTAGACCTAATAAATAGAAATTGCTGCAATTCAATAGGCTTCTTCGTTTCACTAATTTAAATAATGCATATAAATTTCACAAAGATCGGATGGTAACTTATGGCGTAATAGCTTTCACAAGGTTAAAAAAAAATGAAACAAGGGCCATAACTCTAGACGTAATAAATAGAAATTATTGCAATTAAATAAGCTTCTTCATCTCACTAATGTAAACCACTTATATCAATTTTATAATCGGATAATAACAATGGACGGACAGATGGGGGCGACGGCAATATACGTCCACATTTCCATGTGGGCGTATAAAAAATTATAAGAGAGCTTCTGATAGTGGTACATGACAAGGATGTTATAATAAGTTTATTCACTAAAATAAATCTGCCACTACTCCTTTAAAACAACAGATTAAATTAGGGATGCTGTTTCGGCTGTGTATAGGCCATCTATGCCTACGTGACATGGCTAACATTTGACTTTGAAAATATAAAAAATACTATTTTTCGCAATTCATGTTTTGGGGATATGAAAACTAAGTCACAAGTGTACCTTTAACCCAGTCTTACCCAACTATTAAAGTTGTGTCCAATCTTTATGTTTAACACAGCCTATCTTTAAGGAGACCTATCTAGTGTCAATTATAACAAGAAGCTGTGCTCCTACCCCATATAGGAGTGAATATAAAAGTACCGGTTGTTCTTCAACCCTCAAAATTAGGTCCCACATTATATACTTATAGATTGTCAATGCTGTTTATATAGGTAACAGTTTATAATCTAACACAATTGCGCAACACGCATCCTTTGTATGACAAACAATAACATCAAAACAATTTTACAATTGTTTTTTGCTTTGTCATTATTAGTTCACCTTCTTTTAGCATTAAACCTATACTAAACAGATATGGTTGAAAAGAATGGCTTATTGATGCCAGAGCATCTATCGGCATAAAAATCAAAAGTCTAACAATGTCAGTATCTCCATTGCTTCAATGTGGTGTTTTACAGTAATTCAATGTTTCGTGACAAGCCTTCGATATTGATATCAAACTACCACCATCAGAATAATAAGCTGTCATTAGCCATTAATGTAATTGAAAATAAAACTTACTGTGGTGTGTTACCAAGGTTATATGTCCATTTAGTATTGTTCAACTGTGCCATTGTTGCTAATGGCATCCAGAAACAGGAATAACACAAATTATTAAGTAATGTCCAATACTTTCCACCTCATACTCACAACGTGCAACTGATAATACATGTCGTAATCATGCCTAGTTTATCTTTGTTTCTATACACACCAAGTCATAATATATATTGATTTCTTCTTCCACTATGTCCTTGTCTCTTCAGTTTTATCAATAATGTTATCTCTCTTATATTAACATCTGACCCAATTATATCAAACTGTAAAACAGATTTCCTTGTTGTGTTCTAGCTTAAGATCACCACTGACAGTCTATGCAATATATATAAATCTACTTAGAACATCATGTGCCAATATCACTATCTGTGCCACTTTATAGGACTACAATTGATAGAAAGGCTGGCTCATTGTGCTTGTAAATGATTATTTATATAGCAACAGTCATTGAAGCGAAGCTAACCTTTATTGGGAAGCCATAGTCTCGTATAATAAATGAGATCAAATAACGATTCATGACTAAAGTTAGGACTTATAAACATTGTGATATAAGCAAAAGAATGATAGCCTAAATTTGAGCCCTTTATTCCACATATTTGTCTTAAAGATCCATAATGTTGTGGTACAGTGTCAGGGAAGGGAGGTAATTTAGAAATTTAACTGTTATTGCCCAAATTTATGAGGCTATAAATGGGAAGAGTTGTCAAATTCTATTGCCATATGAATAGTTTTTTGTTCATGTCCTACGTCATATTTATTGATAATTTTATAGAACCCTTATCTTCTGCTATGGTAGTCAATAGATACAGACATCACGTTTCTTATACTGACTGATAAGAATAAAGAATAGGCATTACTAGTATTATGCTTTTCTAACAGATTTAATTGTAGATTAGGTTGTTAAAAAGCTCTATTATAAGGGGTTAGAAATCACTTAAAGCAACGCCAGAACTAGCCTACATCAGGAATGTCCAAATTAGATTGCGTGCCAAATTTCAGATGGATCAATCAATCCATCGGCGAGATACACATTATAATATAGCCTATAATTACTAGAATGGTTTTCAAAAATCCAAGCAGACGTTGTAAATGTGATATTAATATTACATAAAAAAAAAAAAATGAAATACATATTCTTATCAAAGGTCTATTACTCTTTAAGATCGACAAGTTTTACGATAAGAAAAAAAATATTTCAGTTTAAGCTAAGAAGATGATTCACATTCATACATTAAACAGGTATTATGCAAGAGCTAAATCTGCCTACGGCAAGTCTTTCTTTAGGACTTAAATGTTATATGAACTTTTAATTAGACATACATTAACATGACAAGACCATAATCAAGCCTCGATGCCACAGACTAGGTCCGATTTTAAGTAAATTAGAACGGTTCAACGAAACATACGCCCACAGCAGCTAAGTCGTCCGAGCAGTCAACAAGAGTTGTCGCATATTTTTTCTATTGTCGATAATACACTAAAGTCTGATTTAGAGTAACAACTTATTAAGTAATTATCAGAAAATCATTAGAATTTTTTGGGCTTTTAGTTCTGCCCCATGGTAACGTTTAGAGAGAGAGAGAGAGAGGGAAATGGGGTTTAACGTCCACTCAACACAAACTAGGTCATTTCGGGACTAGCACATGGTTCAATTTTATTTCAATAATTTGCTTGCGCGTAGGGGTCTTTAGCAGTGGTAGGAAACTGGTGGACCCAGAGAAAACCCACGAGGTTGGACAGACGACCCTACTCCTTGTCACGTACAATCGGGGAATCGAAACCCCGCCAGTTGACTCGATGACAGACCGTCTAATACAGCGCGTGTGCTAACCATTAGGCTATCCAACCCCCCGGTAATGTTTAGTATACGAAACATTTAATATCATGAAGTTAGCTGTTCAAGTTATCTAAAGTCATTGAAAATCAATATACTTGTTTGTCTCAAGACCTTAAACTCTGTTTATCGATCTAAAGTCAATCGGATATTAACTTTGGTCTCTAGAGCGTCCACAAGATTTTTCAAAGTTATCAAGGGCCATAACTCTTGTAGTAATTATTGGAAATCGTTGAAAATCACTGGGCTTCTATGTCTTGCGACCTTAAACACTGTGTATAAATTTAAAGTCAATCGGATATTAAAGATACATTATGGGAGATTAGATAAAGAGCTGACAGTTCTCGCTATAATAGTTAAACATACATTATGCAAGAGCTAAATCTTATTATTGCAAGTCTTTATTTAGGCTTCAGATGTCATAGAAATTATAAATTAGATCTTTATTTACACAACAAGCACAAAATCAACTCTGTAGACCCACGGATGGCTTGGATTCGCTTGGATTTAAACAGGATTTCATTGATTGATTAAATTTTTAAATGGCGTCGTAAGCTGAGATTAACCGTTACGTTGACGTCATACTCCGGGAAATTTTAGATCGAGGCTGAATGATAGAGTGTACGAAAAGAGGCCGCTGTTGAGTGAGGCCGCATATGTCGGTCAATTTGATTGAAAGTTTGATATATACGGCCTTGATATTATGTTTATTTGTGGTTAAAATGAGAGTTTGGATGTCGGTATTATACGCTCTTTTGTCACTTCCGTTTACAGAAAAATTATGGAAATTGATAAACATCGCAGCTAACATCACCCCCTTTGAATTGCAGCCCATGCAGCCCCATTGGATCAATGTTTCCTATTTCAATTTGTCTGCTTTGAGAGTACACGCAGGCTATCAAGATTGAAGAAGTCGGCTATAATTATGCCTCATTGATTTGGTCCATTCCTTTAAAACTTTCACTTCTTATCTGTATAATAAAAGTCCTATTTTTAATTTGTAGTAAGATAGGTTGCCAGGCAACGAAACATACGCCCACAGCAGCTAAATCGTCCGGGGAGTCAACAAGAGTTGTCGCATATTTTTACTTTTTTCGGTAATTAAACATTTATAATACATTAAAATCTGATAAAGAGTAACAACTAATTAAATAATTATCAGAAAACCATTAGAATTTGTTTGGTTTTTATAAAGTTCTGCCCCATGCTAATGTTTAGTATAGAAAACTTTTAACATCATGGATTTAGTTGTTCAAGTCATAAAAATTCATTGAAAATTAATATACTTGTTCGTCTCAAGACCTTAAACTCTGTGTATCAATCTGAAGTCAATCGGATGATAACTTAAGCCTCTAGAGCGTCACAAGATTTTTCAAAGTGATCAAGGGCCATAACTCTGGCAGTACTTATCAGAATTCGCCGAAAATCAATAGGCTTCTTCGTCTCATGACATTAAACACTGTGTATAAATTTAAAGTCAATCGGATATTAACTTTAGCCTCTAGAACATCCACAAGATTTTTCAAAGTGATCAAGGGCCATAACTCTGGCAGAACTTATCAGAAATCGCAGAAATTCAATAGGCTTCTTCGTCTCATGACATTAAACACTGCCTCTAGAGCGTCCACAAGATTTTTCAAAGGATCAAGGGCAATAACTCTGGCAGTAATTATCGGAAATCGCTAAAAATCAATAGGCTTCTTCGTCTCCTGACATTAAACACTGTGTATAAATTTAAAGTCAATCGGATATTAACTTTGGCTTCTAGAGCGTCCACAAGATTTTTGAAAGTGATCAAGGACCATAACTCTGGCAGTAATTATCTGAAATCGCTGAAAATCAATAGGCTTCTTCGTCTCATGACCTTAAACACTGTGTATAAATTTAAAGTAAATCGGATATTAACTTTAGCCTCTAGAGCGTCCACAAGATTTTTTGAAGTGATCAAGGGCCATAACTCTGACAGTAATTATTGGAAATCGCTGAAAATCAATAGGCTTCTTCGTCTCATGGCCTTAAACAATGTATATAAATTTAAAGTCAATCGGATATTAACTTTAGCCTCTAGGGCGTCCACAAGATTTTTTGAAGTGATCAAGGGCCATAACTCTGGCAGTAATTATCGAAAATCGCTGAAAATCAATAGGCTTCTTCGTCTCATGACCTTATACACTGTGTATCAATTTAAAGTCAATCGGATATTAACTTTAGCCTCTAGAGCGTCCACAAGATTTTCCAAAGTGATCAAGGGCCATAACTCTGGCAGTAATTATCGAAAATAGTTGAAAATCAATAAAGTCAATCGGATATTAACTTTGACCTCTAGAACATTCACAAGATTTTTTGAAGTGATCAAGGGCCATAACTCTGGCAGTAATTATCGAAAATAGTTGATAATCAATAGGCTTTTTCGTCTCATGACCTTAAACACTGTGTATAAATTTAAAGTCAATCGGATATTAACTTTGACCTCTAGAGCGACCATAACTCTGGCAGTAATTATCGAAAATAGTTGAAAATCAATAGGATTGTTCGTCTCATGACCTTAAACACTGTGTAGAAATTTAAAGTCAATCGGATATTAACTTTAGCCTTTAGAGCGTCCACAAGATTTTTCAAAGTGATCAAGGACCATAACTCTTGCAGCAATTATCGAAAATCGTTGAAAATCAATAGGCTTCTTCTTCTCATGACCTTAAACACTGTGCATAAATTTAAAGTCAATCGGATATGAACTTTAGCCTATAGAGCGTCCACAATTGCTTGTGGACGTCAAACCGCCGGACGGACGGGGGCAACAACAATATACAACCACATTTCAATGTGGGCGTATAAAAATGGTGAAGCGATGCTAAGCTTCGAACAACCATTACTGTGGTTACAATCAGTGCACACATCTGGTTAAACCTTCAAAGGCTTCACATGCCATGCAGTGTGCTATGAAGGATATTTGACCTGGATAGCAATTGAATTTCAACTGTAATAGGTTCTTTTACATACACGCCAAGGTGTAAACAGGACTTCATTTTTTCATCTCATCCAAATGACTAAACACTGTTCCTTGCCAGTCCCTCCAAAATAAAGAGGAACTTTCTCGATCAACAGAGCGATCGAAACTAGGACCTCCAGGTTAGCAAGCCAGCACCTTCCTCACAGAACAGAAGGTCATGGAATGCTGAATAATAATTTAAGAAAACAAAAACTACTTTAAAGTTGCAATTTCACTTTTTTAAGTTATATTTTTAAAATGTATTAAAATAAAGCCTTAAAATAGATGGTATCTATAAACAGTCCTACCTTGTTAAAGAATAATCCTATTAATCCTATAATTCACTATTGCCAGTTGAGAAATTGGCAAAAATATCATTTTCAACTTCAAATTCAAATGTTTGAAGATAGCTATTCCATGGGGGGAAATAGGAAAACAAGGAAGGTAATTGTTTTATTATTTCTGGGGGCAAGGATTTATAAGTGGGAGAATGATACCTATGATCGTATAATAGTGAGTTGACAACCTATTGAGCAAAAGATATAGAAA